CTACAACGAGGCTGCAGACAAACTCGTAGGTGAATATGTCAGGGAGAGCATCTACATTTGGCCAGCAAAATCCAAAGGAGGCGTATCCGCATCGTGGAATGATCCCAAGCTGTGGGATAAAGTGCCGGATGAGGTACGCTACTCAGATGCCATGGCAGAGGATGATGACTACCATGGCAACTTTAACTCGGAGACGTTCAACGGCATTTTCAGGAAGCTTTGCCAAAACCTACAGGCTATGGGGCTGCCGCCTTGCCACATTCACCTCGATGGCGCCTCGTACCACTTTAGCAGAGTTAACAGGAAGTCGAACACAGGATCCACAAAGGAAGATATCCTTAACTGGTTTGACGCTATTAATAACGCCATCCCACTAACAAGCGATGATAATGTACCAACAAAGAAGACATTATTGGCGCACATAAAGAGCCTCCCGGATCAGCCCTTCACCATCTCCGAGATTGCAACGGAAAATGGTGGCCACGAGATTTTCAAGACTCCACCATACCACTGCGAGCTCCAACTAATTGAGAAGATATGGGCTATCGTCAAGAACAAGGTCGCTGCTTACACAACAGGCAAACTGGCGCCCATTGGACTCAAGATTGCCTTGGTCCACTGTTTTTTCGAGGTCAAAAGCGCGACATTTATATCGCAATGGAATACGTCCATCAGTATTGGCAAGGAATACTATCAGAACCGGCCATCAATGGAGGATGTCACAAGCGAGCCGGAAGTCACTGTGCCAATGCAGGAGATCCACATGGTTGAGAGTCAAACAGTACTGGAGACCACCGTGGCCGATGGGCTGCCAACACACGAGATCGGCATGATCGAGAGCGAGTCAGAAGATGCTCCACTTGGTACTTTCCTCATATCTGTCTCGGAAAAGGATTGGAGCGTAGATCTTGCACATGAGACCTACTATGACCATAGAGTAGCACTAGATCGATACGGTGACTTTGGTTTAGATGATGATGAATACCTACATCACGACGATCAAGTCGATGAGGATGCGGATGAATAAAAGAAAGGGTACTGCGGGTCCCTAGATCAGGGCGCGCCCAGACACATGTCCGCAACACGAGTTTTATTTACCTAGAAAATGCTAGACTGCAACCCACTTCCTATGCTGCCTAATTACTTCTACTCACGTTTTCCTGGCCTTTCCGGCTCCCTTGTTCCCGGTCTTTCCCACGTTCACATCGGATGCAGACCAAGCGTAGATCACAGAGAAGAATGACAACACCTTGCCGAGTAGGCTCAAAACGCGTGCTTTGCCTTCTTTAGTTGTTGGCGCAAAAGACAAGTTTTGCGCAACCGTTGCTTTTTGCACCTTGAACATGGTCAGGCTTCCTGAGGGCAACCTCTGGAGGGTACTCCGGAACGTGACCCATGTTGCATAGTCTGTCGATATCCCGAAATACATACTTGTTTGGGGAGAAGGTAAGGCATTATGCACAACAAGACAACTTTCCAAGACTGTGTACATCCCTGCAATGAGCTGAGGGAAGCTGCTGGTTTCCGAAGCATGATGTTTCACCTCCACGACGCAGAGCACTTGCTTGTGGCATTTTCGTACATCTTACGGCTCGGGCTTCTGCTGTAGTGAGTCCTGCGACTGGATATTTGATCGAGATGAAGTCCATATCGCTCCGGCAGATGGTGCGGCTGGTGATGCGATAACGCAAGCTGCTTGAACTGGATGGTGAGGTTGATGACAAGGCATTCGCATTGCTTGTCATTGAGGAGAGTAGCTGCGGCTCTCTCCTGAATCTGATCTGTGGTGCAAAGGTCGTATTCGTCCTTGCTGTTAAGTCTCTGCATGGCGAGAGAGGCTGTCTCATCTGCAAGTCCAGGGTACTTGGAGAAAATGAGTTCAAAATACTCTTGAAGCGAGGGTGCGCCCTCGCGAAACCACTGAAGCCGATAAGAAGAATTAATACTCTTCACGATCACTAGGAGAGCCGCCTTGCGTGAGGCAGTCGGAGATTGCTCCACCGCCGCCGTCAGGGGGAAGACCTCCTAATCAAGTCCAATTGTTCCGTTCAGACTCCTATGTACTCTAAATCCAAAGTACCAAATGACAAGGCTGTAGAAGCACCCTTACCTTGGTGGCAACGAAAACCGTGAGGTAAGTACCAAGTTCATCTGCCTTGACAAGCTCCAACAGCTTGTCAGATGGGTGGACGTCCTGTTTCAACTTGATGTTGGATAAAACAACAGGTTCATGAGCCGTGCCGGCATCCTTGGGGACAGCGACACGCCACACCGTGAGGAGATGCCCCGAGGTTCCTTCAAAGTCGAGAGGCATTCGATTTTTGATGGCGAGCCTGAGCGCTGCACCGCTGGCTGAGAGAGGCAGATTGAGCTCGATTGCTCTCGAGGGTGTCTGGCCGTCCAAAATGAAGAAGATTTGCGTAGTCGGCCGTCAGTTGTTGATCGTTATGTTGTGAGTGGTGGGGAAGCAAGAAGTATGTGATTTCGTTTGACGCGTGGAGCGGGAGGGTCGTGGGGACGTGCTGAGTAGCCTCAAAACTGACTGCTTTCGCCTCCCCGAAGTGATCTCGACCATCGGATGCTGATGACCCTGATTACGCCGTCTGCGAAGTATACATGAACCAGGACTCAATGAGAACAAGAGAGGGATCTTTAATATTAATCCACCGAGAACATTATATGTTACTCGGTGGCTTAAGTAAATTGATAGGACTCGCTGGATCTAATTAAATACACGCGGTGGCAGCATGTAATATGGCTATATGCCACACCGTCCTTTCCACCACCTTAGACGACGCCAGACCATACTGTCTTCCCATTAGCTACTGACTATTGGTTCATGATGGATTCATCCCCCCCGAGCCTCATCTTCTGGACTCTCCTGACCTGCGATCTCCCAGCCAGGTTACTCGAAGCGAGTACGAGTCACTAGCACAAATCTTCCGCCACTTCTCCAACGCTCCGCCTGAGGTACAAGCCTGGAAGAAGCCAGAGCAATTGTTGGAAGGGCTTTTTGCAGATACCAGAGTAATCGACATTGCCAAGGAGTTCGCAAGAACAGGCGTCTTGAGTGTCACCGAATAAACTGCAAGCGGTAGCTGCCTTCCCCTATATGCAAGTAGCCGCATGCAATTGAAGGAAGAGGACTCTGTGTTTTCTAGGACATTCAATTGGGAAGATTACTTTAAAAATGTATTCATCGACCGCCCACTGACGGGGACTCTACTTTATTTCCTACATATGAACCTAACTGTGATTATATGATAGTCACGTTCTGTTTAGAGTTGAGTGAACCATAACAAATTTGAGCTGTGCGTCGCGTTTCTTATATTACTGTATCTAATCCAACTTTTCTCGACTATCAACAACCTTAATACCCCTCGCCTTCATAACCGAAACTTGCACCGGATCCGTAATCGTAAACTCCCCTCCAAAATTCGCCCCTTCCAACACTAACGTCTTCAAACTTGTCTTTAGTGGTATCGCAGCCACAAACTGCTCCACATTCTTCAACGTAAATTTCGGTGTATGAATCTCCAAATACTCCAAACAATCAAAATCCATCACGGCCACCAATTTCAACCATTGCTCTACAAACAACGCGTTCGCAATCACCAACCGTTTCAGTCTCGGTAAGCGGCTAATCACACCATGGAGTTGAGTAAAGTAAGGTTCGTCAAACCCGCGGCCAAAGATTGTGAAATCTTCGACCAGGATGGCATCTTTGCCGGAGGACTGCATGGATCGTAACAAGGTTGAGAGCGGTAAAGTCTTGGGGTCCAACAAGCTCGAGACTCGGAGTCGGCGCAAGTACTGCCACTGGATCTGCGACACAACTTGCACATCTGCGGCACAGGCTATATCAACCGTCAAGGACTTCAATGGACTTTGGGCAACCACTCTTCGCAAGGCTTGAGCACGACCAACGGTCATCTGTTTCGGATCCACCTTGGCCGATCGCTCAACGTCCAAAATCTCGAGACTGGACTGCTTGGTTGCTGCCTTTGTCGTTGCCTGAGCCAAAGCGACCGCAATCTCTTCCGTGATTTCGTTGCACAGACCCAAGTTCGTGACATGATGCCCCCACTCTTTCAAAAACCCCGGGAAATCCCTCCATTCGATATCGACCAGATCACCTCTGGGGATCAGCATCTCGAACCACACACCTGTAGCCGAGTCTACAGCTCCAAGTTGAAGCTTGAGTGGGACTGCATCACCCCATCGAGAGTTCAGGATCGCTACAATCATGATCAAGACTTGATCACTATACACGTTGAGTTGCATCCGTTCCAGGTTCGGAGATCGAGAGGCTAGAGTACAGATCTTGACGTCGTCCTTGTCCAATGATGCCCATTCGCCCATCTCAAAAGTCTTGAGGTTTGGATAATCCTCCTTGGCTGAGAGTCCTGAACGACGAAAGAAATCTGCAGGGACTCCTCGGAGATGGACATTCTTCAACGTCGGGTATTGGAGCATCGAAAGAATAGGGTCGTATCGCCGTTTGCCTGTCAAACTGATTCCAAAAGTCGGTCCAGTCTTCAGTTGCAAGTCCAGCGTCAGAGTCGCGATGGTGGCTTTCTTGATCATTTCTTTGAGCCGCGTCAGATCCGAATTCTCTTGGTTCCATGCCAGGGTGAGATTCAGTTCATAGATACCCTGGGATTTGAGAAGCGCCTCGTATAGTTGAGCTGCTGCGACAGCCGACTTGATAGTAACTACCACTTTGCCTACTTGCTCATCGACGACTCCACGAGCAGTCTTGACGGCCTCGCAAAGTCTCATGTTGTTCGCCGCTTGATAACCCTCGCGGTAGTGATCCTTGCAGACCCACTTGACATGGCCATGTTTAGTCGTGATCCGATACAAGTTCCCCAAAAGATTATCAGAATCGCCCGTCGACAGATACGAAGCCAACTGGCGCAGATCAGCACCTTCGAGACCCTTGACATCCAACAAGTACTCTGCAATCTCGTTCTGGGACGATTTCTGCAGATCGATCGAGCCTTCCTTCTTTTGCAGTTCCTTGACATGAAAATCTTCCAAAAATGAGATCGATTGATCAACACCATCAATCACCTGCCGCGTCACCGTCTCGCAAGACTCCTTGACCGAATCCACCACATCAACCACTTTCAAAGTCGCCAAAGCCGGGACCACAACCCCAGCAATCGAGATACCATGCTTCAACAGGGTCAGCATCACTAGCAGATACGGACCATAGTGGACAAAGAACTTGTTTGGTTGTGTGATCGAGTACCCATCATGTTTCGCCAAATGCAAGTGATGCGGGATCTTGCTCCCAGCTCGCTTGGTATGTTCTCCACACTCGCAAATAAAGTATAACCGAAACTTTGTCCCTAACAAGTTGTCAGGATTCCATTTCAAGGAAGTTGTCTCTGGCAGGACGATAAACAATCGCGGGATCGTGTACTCGAGGAGTTCAAAGTTTTGAATCAAGATCGCCTCAGCTTTGGTTTGGACCAAAGCCAACCGGTCCAGAGCTTCCTGCTGCATTCGAATCATTCGCTCGGATTTGTCGACCAGTTCTTCGAGTCGGCCGTGGACAAATTGTTTAAACTCGGGGTTGGCGGCGGATAGCAAGATTTCGGGGTCGATGGGCGCAGAAATGGGGGCTGCGACTGCTATTGTTGTAGTCGCTGATACTGCTGTCGACATGGCAACCTGGGAGCTTGGTTCGATCGGTTCTGGGGGCTGCTGCTTGTTCATTACAAGCTCCGTGGTTGGCAGAGGTACTGATGCGGCAACTACTGACACCGGCTGAGTCTCTTGAATCACCAGAGTCTGGACTGTCGCCTCCAAAGCTGGTGTTGGATCGACCTCTGTAAAAACTACAGAGCTTGGCGGTGCCGGTGGTTGTTGGGTTATTGCCACAGTCGATGGATCCTCGATAATGTCAACGATGACGTCCGGTCGACAAGGGATCCGCTCCGGAACGTACCTAGATGATTGGATTTGAGTTTGTTTCTTCGCATCAACAACAAGGTTCTGAGTCAACAAGCGCGTAGGTCAAGAAACGACAACAACAGAGACTAGCGAAGCACTTACTTGCGATGATCAGGTCCTCTCATGAAAGGGATGGCCATGGTACCGGCCTCAAACCTGGCGGCCTCCGTATCAAAGGCATACTGGACATCCTCCAGAAAAACAAAGCCTTTCTCGCCCGCTACATCTGAGGTCAGGATCTCGAAATCCCGGATGACGGTGCCGAGCCGGAATCGCTGCATGGAAGTGACGGCCATGAAAGACAAAAAAGGGAATTGGAGTTGAAATTTGGATGAATGAAGAATGAATTTGACTTTGCAGTGGAGCGAAAGAAAAGTCGACGACGAAGCACTTGGCTCTCAAAAATATTTAATTTTTTTTCGAACGGCGCCGCGTATGCAAACGCCAGAACTCTTCCTTTTCAAATTGCAATTCCATCCCACTTTCATTCCCATTCACATTTCTTCATTCCTACATCCCCATGACCCAAGACGACACTGGCCTCCAGGGCATGCAGCGCTTCCGGATGGGCAGCGTCGTCAGAGACTTTGAGCCGATTGAGTCTGATGTCCCCGGCGAAAAGAGCTTTGTGTTTCTTGAGGACGTTAAGTATGCCTTCAACACTGATGCTGCTCGATTCGAGGCGGGGACCATGGCTGTTCCGTTTATGCGCGATCCCGGCCACCGCAAGTGAGCTTTATTTCTTTTTTCTTTTTGATAGTGCTGAGGATGGATGATACTTGTTCCTGGCACTCGCTAACGGATCCCTTTTGTTGCTTTTCAGGTACGTCCCTGAGCGGATCGCTTGGCGTCCAGGTGTCATTATTGACATTGTGCAAAAGCCAAAAGCAACAACAACAACAGCCGTACCGCAGCAAGCAACTGCACCACCGCCAGCGCCATCATCAGCACCGCCACCTTACACCTCTTCATCGCCATCCCCAACACTACCATCGACCGTTGCTCTATCGTCAACACCCATAACAACACCATCGCTCGTTGATTCGCCAGTACTCGACCACCCAACGTCAATCGCTCAACAACAACAACAAACGCCAACCATCATTGAGCCTCTTTTACAAGAGTCGAAAAAAGACACCTACACCCACACCTCGGATGATATATCCGAGCAAGCGCCTTCACAACTCTACATCCAAGAGACCACCACTGTAACGGCGTCCCAGATCGATACCAACAGCCAAGATGCAACTGAGGCACTTTTCGAAGGTTACGTCCAGTCAAGACTGGTGCACTTGGTGGGGAAAACCGATACGATGCTTCAGCTGCAACAAGAAGCGCTGGATCGGTTAGTGATTGTGCAGACCAAGGCGGAAGCGATCTTGACCCAGAACTTCGAGTTACTCGAGTACACCATCCCACACCTATTTGTGGTCCTACCTGAATCTACCTCTTCTCGATGGGATCCTTCTAACCTATTGGGTACAAAATTTTGTCTCCATTTCATTTGTGAATGTGGAGAACACACCCGGACAGCCACGAGCAGGATCCCGCACCACTTACACTTGGCCAAGCACGATGGGTACGAAATCCAGGAACCCAACGCGTTCTTTACCAAATATGCGGGATTTCTCACCACCATGCTCGAGATTTTGAAGTTTGGCCTGAACATCGCCGGTTTTGTGGTTCCGGCATTATCGACTTTGAACCTTTCGCAATCTGGGGATGCGTCGATCAGTTCGAGGGATGGGAACGGCAAGAACATAGTTGAAGGGGTCGATCGATCGATTTCGTTTCTGGAACAGTTCCTATCTAATCATCCGGATTCTTTGGCCCAAGTCGGTGGTAGTGATGCAGTCTCGACTCTTAGTGGAGGAGCAAAAGTCCTAGAGGGACTCGAAGGTGTGGATCTGAGACAGCTCGCAACTTATTTGAAGGTTGGAGACTCGGCCAACCTGCTCGGGAACTTGTACCGCATGACAACCAAAGAGGGTCACGTCAAATGGGTCTGTCGAGATCATTACCGGGCGGGTTACCAAGAAGCCAACTACCAAAAGCTACACGGGATTGTCAATGCGGCGGGTGGAGTCTTTGATGAGCAACTGGGCAAGATCACGGTCACGATCAAGTCGGGTATTGCAGCTGCACAACTCTACGATGCGATCGGTACCTCTCGTGGGATCCACGAGCTCGAGTTTACGATGGCGTGGGATCAGGATAATGAGGATCTTGTCAAACTCAAGAATATGATCAAAAAGTCGAGTATCGTGGCGCTTACGTTGGATCTGCAGCACAAAACTGGCACAGGGATTGATTTCAGTTTGTCGGGTAGTAAGCGGTACGATCCTATTGTGGCCATCCTGCAACTCTCGTCCGTCACCGCAGTTCACATCCTCAACGGCCCCAAGGACTTCTTTAAGCGAGCCAACTTGACCAAGTCGCAGAACTATTCTAGTCTGCGATCGATCCACGTCGGAGATTACTTCAAAGGATGGGATAAAATGACGCAGTTTCTCAGGAGAGCACCAAACATTGACCGAGTAACACTCAAGGCCTACGGGAACCGACTCTCATCCGAATGCTTCTGGCTCTCTTACTGCCGGACGGAACAGCACCGCCGCCCACTCACAGTCCAGTTCGGCGACAGTCCCGAACGGATATGGTTCCAGCTCACCTTACCCCCAGGCCAAGGCCAACAAGTGTTTTTCAGGGACCAAGCCCATCTAATCAGCTTACACGGCGCCGATATTGAGGTGCTCAGTCTGGACAAGCACATGACCAACAACCTAGCGATCGTTTTAGCAGAGGCGACTCGGACGAAATCGAGGTTGTTTAAACTCGATCTTGCAGGATTCGAATTTGATCAACAGGGGAGTCAAGCAATTGGAAGAGTCATGGCCCAGAGTCCCTTGGTTGACTTGTCTCTTGCGATCTGTCACGAGTACGATTTCGGGCCCATGGCGACTTTACCTTGGGGGACACTCAAGAATCTGTATATCGACAATCGGGTCTCGACTAACTTGCTGGGTTGTATCGAGAGTGCCATCACTGGGATCGAGGCTCACTACGCGGCAGACAGGAAACCAATCTTGGATCGACTTATCTATCGTGGGGTAGGGAACAGTATGGATTCGTTCTTGAGATTGGGGCATTTCTTGGCTCAGTTTCCGATGCTGTCTCGGATGGAGTTGTATTGTGGATTGACGTTGAACGTCTGGTGCTTTTGGGTTCCATTATTGCTTAAACGGCCAAAGTTAAAGATGCTTTCGATTGGGTCCACTTGGACGGCGGAGGAGGTGCAAATGATTTTGGATACTGTACCGGCGAGACCGTTTTTGAAATGTTTGGTCATGAGGAATGCGCCTTTGACGGCGAGGCAGGTTGAGATGATGAGGGCTAGAGGTGTCCTTTTGTGTGCAACAGGGTCTATTACTCAAGAGGAAATCCCACAAGTGGTCAGGTCACAATAAAAATGAAGATAGATCTTTTTTTTTCTTTTTTCTAGAGCTACAGTGACAGGCAAAAGTGTTCAGTCAAAACGCAATAAAAATACTTTTCCATATTTTGACGCGTTGCATATAATAATGGCTATTTTTTATTATATTTACGCGTCTCGGTATCGATGCTAGCATGGTGCGAAGTTTGGGAGCGATCGGGTTAGGAATGAACAAGAACGATTAAAAATGAGACAATCGGGTCAACCGAGCATTTTTGCTCGTGTAGAAAAAAAATACTTTTTTTATTGTTGTTGTATTTTTTAATACTTTGTCTGTTTGCCTTTTGCCCTACAGAGTGCCTGAAGCCGTCGGGGCATGGTCCTGATCAGCTTTCGACAAAATGAAACTGGAATTTTGTACCATTCTATGCAAATTCTTTCCCACAGTCCTTTTGCAGCTTGTTGGTCGTTGTGGGTATTCTGATAGCCTATTCTTCAAGTATTTCCACTTGTATTCTGAGATATTTTTGGATTCAGAAATGAGTGAGAAAGAGATGTGGCTCCACACACCACACCGATTAGGTATTGTTGCGCTTGGAGATAGTTCTTTTACAGTTGTATGGAGTAAGGAAACTCCCAATCTGAATGCTCGAATAATTGTGTTCCACACTGAATACAAGGGTCTAACGCACAACTACGCACACTGTAGCGAGTGATCAGCACAACGGTCTTCTTGTTCAACTGGAACAAGGAACAAAAGACCGCTGGCTTCGATCCTCCTTTTATACAGGCACAACCCCAAAACCTAATATCAAATCCTGCGTACCCTCGGTGGCTGCTGGCCAACAGTATTTATTTGTATTAAATATAATAGTGAGCTGGAGGTACACTTGTTAGACTAAATATACAGTGAACTCTGGTGAAATATGCGACAATGTATAGATGAGCAAAGGCAGCACCGAAACGTCTAGAACCATGGATTACTAAGCAGGACCTTTATTCGTCTGATGTATATAAGGAAGGACAGACTATGTAGCTGAACCCCAGTTCATATGCTCACAACAGTCTAGTCAATAAACTATTGTCGTCACATATTCGTCTTGTTCACTCACCTTGTTCACTCGTCTCCCCTCATTTTCACCTCGTTGTTCCTCGTTCACTCACAAGTCTTACACAAGGCTTGATTGAGAGTATGCCCAGAAGGATCGAAGCTGTCAAAAATGCCAAGGGAGGCCACACTAGGTGCTAAGCAGGCCATGAGTAAACATGTTATCGTTGTTGAGCCAGAAAAAATAAAAACCATATCCATGGGAGAAATAATGAGTAAATGGTACATTTTAAACTTAATTCTGTGTACAACTCGCAATAATTTCCTCCGCTTCCCTCAAATGCTGTAGATTATTTCCCATTGCACTGGCATGTTATCTTGTACCTTTTATGAGCTACAAAAGCCGGGTTCAGAAACCATTGACAAATGTGCCACGCAAGTGAAAATCATTTACTCATTATTTTCGGTAGTGTATCAGCCCACAACAAATCCTTACGTTGTGGAGCAAGAAGCACCCCGAGAGCTCAACCCTGACGACGCACTGCTGGAAGCTGTCCCTTCCATGTCAGGCGAGCACTTTTTCTTCCGTCCCGACAAAGACTCGGATCATTCCCTTCTCCTCAACCCACCACGTTGGCCTACGAACCGGCCCCAGGAGTACACTGCTCCTCCACTTTCCTCCCAGCCTTGGCCTCACAACTCAGGAAAGGCACAGAAGGCCGGCAAAACACTGGCTCGCCTTCAGGAGTAAATGGCAAGGCTTACTCGACCAATCGACGTCTTCGCCGCAACACTTACCATCAACAATGATGTGGACGACGACACGAAGAAGGACTTCTACGCTTTCTTCCACCTACTTCGATCGCAACTTGCTGCAGTGGCACATAAAATCGCAGACGAGAGGCAGGATCGCTACCTCCAGGCGCGTGCGCTCCAGACAACCTCTAGGAAGAAACGCGAACCTATGCTCTCCACAGAACAGATTGTTGACCGCATTAAGGAGACTGAATTGGCAAAGAAAATCACCAATCCGAAACCAGAGCGCGGAGCGTCCAACTCGCGAGGAGGCGGAGAACGTGGAGGCCGCTGTGGTGTGGTAAACCCACACGGAGTATAGACGGGGTATCCAGGTACAAGGGACGGACACAACACCTGATATGACACGATGGGAGGAATAGGTACAGGACACCCATACGATCATACCAGGCACGTGCTGCACGTGCAGTTACAGGATGTGCAAGTAGAAGGACATGCAATTAGACAAGAGTCAATAGGGTTTGCATTTATAGAAATTTTCTTTGGTCAATAAATATCACAGAACGACAGGACCAAATGGTTCCTGGTCTGTTTCCTCACAATACTTTGCTCAACACTTGCCCCCGCACGACACTCCAAGTCGCTCCACGCATCCCTGACCCAACACACTGTGTCCTTCGATCGGTATACTCTGCCACAGCTGGCCTTCATAGCATATCGCCCAGCAAGAGTAGAGACGGGACCCGTGCGTCTGAACTGCTGCACCTCTAGTGCTCCCCCAAGTGTTCCTGCGAGTCCGCTCACATTACCTGCCTGCCCCCACGACAGGTAATGATCATGGTCTCATAACGAACAAGAGCGGAGGATCAAGAACAGTATCCCTCGATGCCGACGTCTGGACACAGGAGTCAAGACAGAGTCCCTTTGACCTTGCAGATCCCTAACCCGAGTGTGTTGTCGCCTTTATTATTCTTGTAAATAGTTTTGCTGTCTTTATTATTCTCATCGTTGAAAGATCTCTTACCAGTGCCCCCACATCTGGAGCTTTATCCATACACCGTAAGATAATTATTATGTACTCTACCGTGCAAAACTGCTTCAATGTTTCGCTGCTTTCTCTTCTTTTTTGTTATTTTCTCCACAATCCTTCACTGCATTAGCTCCAGTTTTGGCTCAACTGTAGCACTGCCATTGATGAACATCTTTACCGGTTACCACGGCGCTAGCTTACGTCATAGTTGTATAATAGGATTTATTCGCAGAAATATCAATGAAGCAGTTTTGGAGGTGCATAAAAACCTTACGTCAAAAAGTGTTTGCGCGTCCATGTCTACTGAGAAGTTGCACCGTCTTCAATTTTTTTTTCGTTATTCTTGTAACATCCATCGTACCTTACCTGTATGCTAAAGGTGAAGCCGATCCCTGAAGCCACGGTCAAGAAGGCCATAGAGCTCATGTTGGAGGGTCTTTCTACCAGGGAGACTGCTCAGCACCTCGCGATATCACCTGCTACTGCCAGCCGGATCTATTCTGACTACAAGGAAGACATGCCCGTCAACAAAGGAGGCGGACCCAGAAAGATCTCTGCTAAAACTGTGGAGTACCTCAAGGTCAACTTGAAGCGAGGTGTCTTCAAGACTGCCGTTGAAGCCAAGAACAGGGCTAACCAACTGCTGCCACAGGCCGTCTCTGCTTCGACAATCAAAAGGCGTCTGCGAGAAGTCGGTTTGATAGCGAAGAGGCGCGTAAAGCGGCCTGCTCTCAGGAGGAAACATATTAGAGGACGCATACGGTTTACCAGAAAGTACCAGGAATGGACCGAGGAGGACTGGGCAAGGGTTGTATGGTCGGATGAGTCTAAGATCAACAGGATTTGTTCGGATGGCCTGCAGTGGGTCTGGGATGACGCCCCTGGACGGACCACTACGCATTCGGTTCAAGGCACGGTTAAGTTTGGTGGGGGCAATGTCAAGGTACAGTACCGGCCAAAACTGGAACAATATTTTTTATATTTCTACAATTAATTACCTATCTCCTCCAATGGTCATGATATCGCTACAAAAACAAGTGTAGCCGTAGTTGCATCACCAACGAATATGTATAAAGAGTTATAAGACGATAGCAATGGTGAATACTGAGAAACATCACTCTTGATATTTCTAACCAACTGTTCCAGTTATGACCGCTCACTTTATTTTCACATAAAAAAATACTCTTTTCAGGAATGCACGCTTGATCAATACTTGGTTTGCTTCCCCTTGGCCTTATAGACTGCCTTGAGTCTCCTAGGCATGCTCCTGATCAAAGTGCGGCAATAGTCGACTAGAATCCTGTACCACTCTACTGATATTCTTTCCCACAGTTCTTTACAGCTTTTTGGCGGCGTTGGGTACTTGGCAAGCTGTTTCTTGAGGTACGCCCACATGTGCTCAATGGGGTTGAGGTCGGGGGACTGCGCTGGCCAGTAGGGAAGCCTTCCCTCGGTTTCTGTAATGCCGGCTGACTCCAAATATGCCTTGGTGACCTTGGCTGTATGCTTGGGATCGTTGTCATGTTGGAAGATGAATTTGTCCTTGGCCATGCCCCACTCTTCAACAGACATGTGTAGATCCTCTTTCAGGATCTGTATATACAGCTCTCAGTCCAGGGTGTCATCAATCAAGGCTATATAGCCAGGTCCATTCCATGACATGCAGGACCATACCATAACATTGCCACCGCCAAACCTGACTGTTCCTTGGACTGTGCGACTGGTTAACCTCCCTGGCTGATCATCCCAGACCCATCTCAACCCGTCTGAACAAATCCTGTTGACTTTGGACTCGTCGGACCAAACAACTGAAGCCCAGTCTTCCTCTGTCCACTCTCGATATTTTTTAACAAATTGCAGACGGCCGTGAATATGTGTTTTTTTGAGAGCCGGCCGCCTGACCACCTTTTTGGCGATTAATCCAGCTTCTCTAAGGCGCCTCCTGATTGTACGGACGGACACAGGCTGCGGATTGAGTTGGTTGGCTTGGTGAGTGGCCTCAACAGCAGTCTGTATGAGTCCACGTTTTAGGTTCAACTTGACATGTTCCACTGCACTCGCCAGAATCTTTCTGGGTCGACCTCCCTTGTTGACTGGGATGTTCTCCTTGTTGTTGGAAAGGATCCTGCGGACAGTGGTATGGGAGATTTCGAGGCGGAGAGCCGTTTTCCTTGTGGAAAAGCCCTCTTTTGTGAGCTTTATGGCTTCCTTGATGATAGATGGTGCAAATAGTCAGGTGTCGGAGGGGTTCTAGGGTGGAATCAGAGGTTTATTCGATGATTGATTGCTGTCTAATCCTACGTTTGAAGGGCTCTTATATACTAGACACAGTTGTGTTGGAATGCTCTAGAAACTAGGCGCAGCATGGTTATGACCATGACATCATTCTCGAATAAACAGTTGTACCTGTTGCACCTCCCCATCTTAAAAAAAAACGTTACTCCTTTTCACGCTTGGCCTCGAACTCTGCTAGGGCCTCCTTAGCATTGACCAATGACGCCTTTGGCTCCCAGGTTGCCTCTTCCAGTGGGTATCCTTTCCATTGAACGAGCCATTTACAGTATGGTGCAAAACTGATTCAATGATGCGATGATTTTTGCGTTGGCACTCGCCTACAAGGAACCAATGCCTCAGCCATCGTCATATTCACCACAAATGTAGCCCATCCAATGACGAACAGGGCTGCTTGCTTTGGAGCCAGAAGTATGCACACCCATTGCTGCATGACGATTGTGCCATCCGTCATCATTGAATCAGTTTTGCACCTACTCCTTGAATACGAAGAACAGATTTTTTTTTTATTTAAAATGGTACCTCTTTAGTACTTAGTTTGCTTGCCCTTCGCTCTATGGACCGCGCTGAGCCTCCTCGGCATGCTCCTGATGAGTTCCCGGCAGAAATCAACTGGTATCTTGTACCATTCCGTTGATATTCTCTCCCATAGCTCCTTGCAGCTTTTTGGCGGATTTGGATACTTTCCCAGCTGTACTTTGAGATAGGCCCACATATGCTCGATCGGGTTCAGATCAGGAGACTGTGCTGGCCAATATAGAAGGCGCTCATCAGCCTCAGTCATATGGACGGACTCCAGAAATGCCTTGGTGACCTTGGCCGTATGCTTCGGACCGTTGTCGTGCTGGAAGATGAGTTCGTCCTTGGCCATGCCCCGCTCCTCGACAGACATCTGTAGGTCCTCCTTCAGAATCTGGATATACAACTGGGAGTCCAGGGTCTCATCGATCTTTGCGATATAGCCAGGTCCGTACCATGACATACAAGACCATACCATGACGCTTCCGCCGCCAAACTTGACTGTTCCCTGGACTGTACGGCTTGTCAGTCGCCCCGGAGCGTCGTCCCAGACCCACCTAATGCCATCAGAACAGATCCTATTGATTTTGCACTCGTCTGACCATACAACTGTGGCCCAGTCCTCTTCCGTCCGCTCATTGTATTTCTTGACAAACTGCATCCGACCTCTAATGTGCTTTGTTTTGAGTGCTGGTCGCTTGACAATCTTTTTGGCCACTAGTCCAGCTTCCCGAAGTCGCCGTCGAACTGTCCACACCGATACAGGTCGTGCCAACATCTGTTGGCCTCGCTCTTGGCCTCCACGGCAGTCGTAAGAAGTCCGCGCTTTATGTTCAGCTTGAGGTGCTCCACGGTTTCTTGACCAATCTTTCTCGGACGGCCTCCCTTGTTGCTCGGCATGTTTTCTTTGTAACCTGAACGTATTCTGCTAGCCGTTGCCTGAGAGATGGTAAGACGTTGGGCTGTCTCACGAGTGGAAATACCCTCAGACATGAGGCTTATTGCTTCCTTAACAGTGGATGGAGGTACGGGCTTCATTTTTTGCAGATAGATAGAGTAGAATAAGGCAAACAGGAAAACGAAACACAAAATGGGTTCATTTATAATGAATCTGATGAAAATGACGATGGTATTTAAAATTACATAAAAATGAGGTTAAGGTGCAAAACTGATTCAATGATGACGGATGGCACAATCGTCATGCAGCAATGGGTGTGCATACTTCTGGCTCCAAAGCAAGCAGCCCTGTTCGTCATTGGATGGGCTACATTTGTGGTGAATATGACGATGGCTGAGGCATTGGTTCCTTGTAGGCGAGTGCCAACGCAAAAATCATCGCATCATTGAATCAGTTTTGCACCATACTGTAAATACAGACTTCATGCAGAAGTGTCAGGAGGTCTTTGGAGTTATCCCAAAACCAGAGCAATTAGAGGCAGTGGCCATGATTGAACGGCAGGAAGACTGTATCTTGATCGCTGGCAGGTCCAGCAGCAGGACTATAGATTCGATCAATTCGTGTCGAGTCAGCATGGGGACCAATATCGATGTAAAAAGTAACAAAGACACACTTCACATACGCTTGGTTGCATGTTGTATCCATTTCTCGGTAGTTGTTGTAAGATGGAGGCAGTGGTTGAGGGAGGAGCAAAGGGAATGACTTTGAGTGATAAGGCTCAAGCAGTGAATGTGCAAGGATGAAGGGTGTTTGGCAGCGGTGGATGTGGAGGAAATTTATTTTTGGGCGAAGCAAGAATTGCGTTGCTCGAAATTTTGCATCAAGAAAGGGCATTGCAAAGGGCCATCGAGATCTTAACATCAATTAAAAGGCACTGCAAATTGATACATTTATTTGTTAAATTTATTAGATGTGTAAAATAGTTTTCAAAATCCCTCAAATCAACCTTAGGTAACTCGTCAAACTCATCGAACCACCATCGATATCATTCATCATACTCAGACTAAGCAATCGCTGTGATTGTTGCGGTACGAAATGAGCGAACGACATGGTGACATGAAATACCTTTTCGGACATGCGCAGTAGGTCCGGCGGCCGTGGGTTTTCTTGTATTTTTCGCACATGGGGATGTTGTAGGGATTTCAGAGTAGGAGAGTAGGATGGTAGTAGGCGGCGGTGGTATAGACAGACAGAGAGAGAGAGAGTGGATGAGAGAGAAAGATAGATAAAAGGTTTTTTATTTCTATTTCTGGCTCTAATTTATGAAAGAGAGGTCTACGCGACATGGCAGAGCATCCTCTATCCGACTTTCGACTTGTATACGTACATGGGTAAAGAGATTTTGCGAGTACGTGAAAAGGTAAGGCAAAGCTTAAAGTTATTAAATCGAAATATCTAGGAGCCTTGAATGACCGAAAGTCAGGCTCATTGTAGCCGGATTTGTTCAAAGCGTCGATCCTGCACTGCAAAAAATGCCACAGCTTTGCGCCAACAGTGATCCCGTAAGAGATAACAGGGGCGATGCTGTCATCCTCATCATCCTGGCGCTTTCGATTCTGTCCAGAGCATATGGTGTCGAGTTGAACCATGTTTTGAGTAATGCTGGTTGAAAGATCTTCCGACTGCACCCACGTTACAGCAAGCATGCAGGACGAACCACTCTTCGACTCCACCACATACGGTATCGACCCAAATCCTCGCCTTCCTGATAGACTCTTGTCTCCTGATAATTCGAGGTCGGAGAAAAGCGCAATAGCGCGCAATAAAAAGAATTGATATAAGTCGGTATTCCTGCGCCATCCTCAGAGACCATCGACTTCAGTGCGGCTCCCAGCGTCCCATACAGTTCATCCAATGCTTGCGTATGCTCCTTAGAGGCCAATGGTGTGGTAGCGAGGTCGTAGAGAGGCGAGGGTTCATCAGTGTCATATATTCCGCAGGCGTCCGATGTCGTAATGTCAGGGAAGGGCTTGCTAAGGACCTCCAAACGCACAACCATATCTTCGATTCCTCCCTGCACATATCTCCTGATCATATACCACAGCTGACCGTCATCTGCAACAATCTCGACACCAGTAGAATCCTCAACAACCAATGTTCGGAGCCGTCGTCCCAGGATGGTTGCCTTTCGACAATGGTGGTCCGTAGATTCTCCGGGGTGACCGTTTTTTGAGTGGGTGTACCAGGTCAGAGTGGTGGAATTCTTGTTTTTGAGAATGACTTGAAAGACCACATCATCATCGAAGTTTGTGCTATGGGTTAAAAACAGAGTACATATCAGTCTCCAGGCCTGAGACAGTTAATAATATTGATGAGCAGAGACGAGGGGCGTTCGTGTACCGTACTATACCTCGAGGAGTCGTTGCACAATGATGTAAATTGACTCTTTAACTGGCGTGCAGGGAAAAGTATCTGAGATGTTGTTTGTCGGGCGCAGTTTCTTCTTTCGCGAATGGTATCGAGTACAGTTGGCAACTCTTCATCATCGTCGGCTACTTGGATGAAGACTTGCCAGAGTGTGAGCTTGTTAGGGGCAATGTCATCAAACTTGGTGGATTTCTTGGTCTTGATGAGCTCCTTGACATCGTCAGCGGTGTCGTCAGAGGTAATCTTGATGGAGAATGCATTCGAAGTTGGCTCTCCCTCGACAAGGCAGAAAAGGGATTGACATTAATCGTCATGCGTTAGGCAGTGAAGGCACCAGAGAAAAAAAGGGCGAGTGCAGATGGCACCAAAGGAAAAAAAAAATGCGATGTGCAGAGACGGCACCGGAGGGAAAAACAGTGTGGCAACATGCACTCAGTAGCATTCAGAAAGTATAGGTAGCCATAGAGAGTAACAGACAAAAGGACTTCTCTTCCTAATAAGATAGGCTCATCCGTTCGGAAGAGGCACAGCTACCTTTGACCCTGGATTGCGAGGTTCTGCGCACCAGGACCACCTGGCTCATGACACCTTCTGCTATCTGCCGCGAGGTTCTGCTGCACAAGTAGCGAAAAAGGGTACATGGCCGAAAGTGCATGCAGAAAAGTAAAAGACACTGGGCAGAGAGGGATGGACACGGTGCATTTGTGGACGAGCAACAGACAAAAGGACTTCTCTTCCTAATAAGATAGGCTCATCCGTTCGGAAGAGGCACAGCTACCTTTGACCCTGGATTGCGAGGTTCTGCGCACCAGGACCACCTGGCTCATGACACCTTCTGCTATCTGCCGCGAGGTTCTGCTGCACAAGTAGCGAAAAAGGGTACATGGCCGAAAGTGCATGCAGAAAAGTAAAAGACACTGGGCAGAGAGGGATGGACACGGTGCATTTGTGGACGAGCAACAGACAAAAGGACTTCTCTTCCTAATAAGATAGGCTCATCCGTTCGGAAGAGGCACAGCTACCTTTGACCCTGGATTGCGAGGTTCTGCGCACCAGGACCACCTGGCTCATGACACCTTCTGCTATCTGCCGCGAGGTTCTGCTGCACAAGTAGCGAAAAAGGGTACATGGCCGAAAGTGCATGCAGAAAAGTAAAAGACACTGGGCAGAGAGGGGAAGAGAGGAGAAGAGAGGAGAAGAGAGGAGAAGAGAGTGAGCAAAGGAGGGTTTTAGACCTACTAACCTGAGCAAGTGACCATGAGAAGAGGAGACACAAGGAGGAGCTGATGATCAGAGTGCAATGAAGATTCCGGGACAATGGGCGAGAAAATTACGTCTCCTTCAATATCACACTAACTCATGAAATTGATATCGCAGCATTTTGGGGGTAATTACATTAAAAATGAGGAGATCAAAGAATTGTATTTTTTGGGCCACCATGTTCAAACCCGACCGAATGACCTGTTGCAACTAATGAATGAATTTCTTTACATTAGGAGCAGATATCAATCCACAAGTTATTAGTACCATTGACGAGGACGAGGACTACCATGGCACCAATGTTCATTGTAATTGGGTTACAACCCATGGAGATATTAAAATAAAAAAACCATTCACATCACAACATTCGGTCAGCTTTGTATATAAAAACTAATTGCTGAACAGATAGCACATGGTGCATGGGTTCAAGGCACATGGCACACGGTCTACTCTCTTGTCGAGCTGAAGAGTTCACGTTGCGAAGGCGAGATCAGCGTCTTCTTCACTTCGTTGACCTTTCGCGGGGGTGTTCGCGCTCCTGCCTTCATATATGTCGGCGGGAATTTGAACTCCTTGAGCCATGCCTATTTTTGCCACCAGGTTGGTAAGGCTTTCGTTAGTTTTAAAGTAACCGGGTTGAAATGCTTCATTGATAAAAAACAGAAATATAAACCTTACCTCCACGGACAGCAGTGCTTCGATCGAATTCCTAACCGCCCCCACATCGTCGCGAGCCCGCGGCAGGTACACTTCATGGTTGCGGTGGAAGTGGTACACGCCGTTCATGAGAGTCATGGTGCTGATCTCCATGCGGTGACCTATGAATGGAACCCACCTGAAGGTATTAGTCGCCGTTAACTATAATCTCAACAACTCTGGCCACCATTGCTGCAACTTACCGAACACCTGGACAGCGACGAAATAAGGGAGGTCCACATTCTCCCGGAGCTGGTCGTCAAGTTCATCCTTGGCCAGGCTGGCCAGCTTCCATCTATCCTTCAAATATACCGTGGACCGGCGGTCATATATGGGTGGCTTGACCTCCATCGACAAGACGATGTATCCTTTCTTGGATAGGGATAGATCCGGCCTCACCCCTTCAAGACCCCTTCCGCCTCTCCTCGACTTGGAAGCCGCCGACTGGTGGTTCGCCCACTCCACATCGAAGTCCTTGAATATGCATGTAAACAAGGTGTGGACCACCCTGTGAACGAAGGTGTCCTCTCCTATAGCTTCGAACGCGTAGTAGGTAGCAGGGAGCTCGTAACACCTGTATTGAAAGGTCAAGGCATTCATGTTAGCAGTCAGAATTTAGTCAACATCATACCGCAAGTGCGCCTCGCAATAACTGACAGCGACTGAAAAATGTGGAAGAGGCGTGCTTCCAACGGGTCTGATCCGGTATATGTACTGATATGGCCAGACGCCAAGTCGCTCTCAAGCCGGCAAAGCAGCAGCTGCTGCGCCTCCTTAAATCGTACGAGCTCCCGCATCAACAATCCTTTGATCATCAAAAATGTGGGCGCCGTCAGATCCCCCAGCTCCTGCGAGGTATCCCAGATACTATTCACGGACCTGGAATATGAATTTTCTGGTCAATTGACAAGTACAAAAGTCATGCAAAAAATTAAAAAAGTAAAAATTAAATCTTACAGGATGCAGGCAAAGTTACCTCTCGTCACCAGCGCGTCAAGATCATTCGCAAGTGCGACACCGGCCAGCTGAAAATTGTAGAAAGCCGCTCCCACATCCTCCTCGTTGATCTCGTACACGGTCCGGATCATGGTATCTGCATCGATGTGAAAGGAATTCGCACGAGCGGATGGGCGACGTTTGCTGAGTCGAGAATCTACTGCCGTATTCGACCTCTATTAGGAAGAAAAAAGGAATAATCGTTCAGAAACTGCATTTGCAGATTTGCAGACTGATAATCCCGTTCAGGCAATGGATCAAGTGTACCTTGCATATTGATGCAACTAGAGCCTTATCCCGCTTCTCCTGCTTCTGCGGCTTCTGAGGCTTCTGCTGCTCCTCCTGGTCCTCCTGGTCCCCTTGGTCTTCTTGGTCATCTTGTCTCTGTTTGTCAAGGCGGTCTTCGATTCGCTTGACAAGGGAAGATGGCGGCGTTCGTGATACACACTGTAAGGTAATATGTGGGAAACAAGTTAGCTGGCTACATTCATGTTCATTACGCGTCTTACGGCGCCCTGTTTAGCTGTAAAACGTGTGGAGCAACCGCAATTCGTCCTTACTAAGACCCTGCCCAGTCTACTGCCTCCCTGGAGCGGTTGGGCAGACCAAAAGGCCTACAGCCCACGCGAACAGCGGACATGGGTCGAGCGAACAATCCACTAACAAGGACACAATTGCCCTATTCTGCTATCGCCTTCGGTAACGGATATAAGTATTTCCAACTGCATACCTTCTGAGCACCAGCCAGTTGGCTGTAAAACGTCTTCTCGCCCGACAGCGTGAACGACAACTGCGAAAGACTTTTGTTTTCGTTTTCCAGTCTGACCTGGCACAGGAGTTTGGCGCGATCCAGGACCGGTCGACCTTCCTCACTTTTAAGAAAGCGCAAACACCGTCCTGCAAACGTGGAAATGGAGCCCTTGCCACGGAAACAGATTAGGTCGAGTCCTTTGAGGAAGGAATTCATGGACGTGGATTCAGGTTGTGAGGCATAGTGCTCGGGATGCCAAAGGGCGGGCGAATCGAAAGTTGTGAAATAGTCATCGAGGTTAGGGATGTCGCCTGTAAACTTGTTCGTCAGCTTGTATGTAGGAAACATGGTTTCGAGAACGATGAGAATCACTGGAACGTCGATGTGAGAAGCGCGGTGTGGGAAAGATGATTCCAGAGCCCCATTCAACAAGGTTTTTAATGTCTGCTATCCTAGCGAATCAGTCTTTTTTTTTCACAGCGTGAGAGGCATGCATGAAATTTGGTGGTACAAGCAGTCTAATGAGCTGCCCCCTACCCGGGCGGGCATCTGGTTTGACAGATCGAAGCCACCTGGCCAGCGTAAGCATAGCCGGAGTCTCTCTCATCTTTTATCATCCAAATACCCAGGACCATGGCGCTTGTTATCGCCAGATAATATATTGCAATCAAAGCATCCATCATGTCTTGAATCTCTTGCCCTTTGAGATCGTAGGGATTGTAGTCGATGTTGTCCTCTCTCCAGTGCGGAGCCAGGCTATGTATTTCCCGAAAAGCGATTCTTGGATTGTTTATTTGCCGGAATGTTCTGCACAAATACCACAGTTCAGGTTTCCCGATTCGCACTCGATTACGTTCTTAACCGACCTCATCCAAGAGGCATGGCTCTTCTACTGGCAGCGTTGCTGCTGCACTTTGGACTGGAGCCAGGCTATAGTATATAGAACCGTTCTTGCTTGAGGTCAATGACTTTCGCTGTCAGTAGTCGAATTCTTGATTTTCATGTCCTGCTCGTCTGCATTCAAATAATGTCTGCGGTCAGCCCGATCCCTCTTGGCACAACCGAGGGTAAACTGCGGTCAGGATTGGGATTGTTGCTATGAGTTACAGATGTACGCCGTCTTGTTCGCTGTATTTTTTGAATTAATGATGATTTTGTACTAAACAATGTGCCATTATATTTGTTGACCGTCCGAGATTCTCTAAAGTAGCATTGCATCCAAACTGGACCCAGCCGTGGGTTCACAGGAATGGACTCTATCCTATCCAGAGCAAGCAAGCAAGATAAGCGGATTTTTTTTTTTACTTGTCTTGTCAGAGTGACGTATCCACACCACAGGGACTCTGCAGGTCGATAGTAAAATAAAAAGCGTGGATCTGATGTCGAGCAACAACTGTGGACTTTGCTTCTTTCGTTTGAGCTGTGAACTTATCCAGAGCCTCACCTGTTCATGGTGTTGATTATGCCAGTTAAAAGAAATAGCCTGGCGTCTTAATCTTGCCTGCCTGCCTTTTTTTTTTTTTAATGCAGGCAGATGTGCTGGCGTCTTTTTACTTGTTCATGCCTTGATACTTAGAGTGTTGGTGCGCACATATTAATTCAAGGGTGGTGTAGGGGAGGAAGGAAAAACCTGTGGCATCACCGATCTTTTTTGCTAAGGTCAGGCAGAAGGCGCAGACAGGGAGACAGGAGGAAAACCTAATCGTTGCCGATTCGGCAGCGATCAAGATTAGAATGGCGGAATGAAAGGGGCACACGTTCCGATGGCACGAGCGGATGCAGCTCATGGAGGGGATCAGGAACCATGTAGAGTTCATCCGCGGTCGCATTAGCATCATCGGCTGTGGCAGGTGGTGCATGTGTGTTTGACTTTTTTTGTTTGGTGGCGTGTGTCTGTCCGTTGTTGCGCTTGGAGATAGTTCTTTTACAGTTGTATGGAGTAAGGAAACTCCCAATCTGAATGCTCGAATAATTTGTGTCCCACACTGAATACAAGAGTCTAACGCACAACTAAGCACACTGTAGCGAGTGATCAACACAACGGTCTTCTTGTTCAACTGGAACAAGGAACAAAAGACAACCCCAAAATCTAATATCAAATCCTGCGTACCCTCGGTTGCTGCTGGCCAACATTCTGATTAGTAATGCCATGTGACGCTAGACGCATCTAAAAATGGATCAGCTTCGCCCTCATCACAGAAAGCTCCATGAATTGATGAACTAAGACAGCACCGAGAAAACATCGAGAACCATGGATTACTAATCAGGACCTTTATTCCTCTAATATATATAAGATAGGACAGACTATGTAGTAGAGCCTGAGTTCATATACTCACAGTAGTCTAGCCAATAAACATTTGTCTTTCACACTCGTCTTCGTTTACTTACTTTGTTCACTCGTGTCCCCTCGCTCCACACTCGCTGTTCCTTGTCTCCCAACAAGTCTTACATCTAGTATTACCTTAAATACAATTCTACGCTTATCCTGATGCCTCATTCCTGAACACTTGCCACCATTTATCAGTACCTGCCTTGCTTAGAAAAGGTCATTCTGACTCTGAATAAGCATAGGTTCATGACATGGGCACGGGACAACGTTTTGCAGATTGAGGACGTCTGCAAGATGCGATATTGGCGACTTCGATGTCTCGGACATCCTAATGAATGTTCAGAAGGATCTCGTCCGACGACAGTCTCACCTGATATCCAGTTCAGGGATCTTGTAAGTTTCATGTTTCTTAGCTCGCCTTGTATTATTATGCTCAGTATTGCTTATGATTTATTCTATTGAAGAGCTCTGAACTTTGTATTCATAAAGGATCTTCTTGAGGAGTATTTTCCTCCGGATGTGGTTGAGGTCCTTACCGCAGTGCAGACTGCAGCGCCAGTCAATGACGAGGTTGATTTATTGGTATCCTGTTGTCTGTATTCTGCGTCGCATAACTTCCCTGAGTCAAAGACATTTGTTCGGAAATCGACATCGGCAAACAATTGCATCGCAGCCGACCTATTGCTGGCATTTTCGTCCACAGGTACCTTGTGGCACGGCTCCTCGGCACTTCCAACCAATGAGGACACGTACAGCCACCTAACAAAACTAATTAGCGAATTTAAATTTTTTCTAACCATGAGCAAATAAATACATCTTTTCTTCAGCACGACTTTTCTTCTCCAAGCACAATCAATAGCAGCTTGAATAACCGCCATGGAAGATAGTGCCCCAATGCACAGCTGCGCGCTGCCAAAGGATTAGCGCCAAGTACACGGCGTTCGCAAGATAGAGGACTGGCCAGACGACTCCTCAGAATTGAACCCCATCGACCATGTCTGGTCTTTCCTTGGCACCTCTCTCAATCGACGACAAAGACAACCTCGGGACATTGAAACACTGGTAAGAGCTCTAGTGGAGGAGTGGAATGCTTCTATCGCAAGAACAGCTGGCAAGGCTGATCGACACGATGCTCCAAAGAGTGGAATTCGTGAAAAAGCACACTGGTGGTAATGGCAGATATTGAACGAGCCGCAGCCCTTTCCTTCAGGATTCACCACCCTGACATTCACCATGGATGTTTCCCAAGAGCTCCTCTCGACAGATATGAAAATTTCCATAGCGACTGCATAACTCTTTAGGTGTGTTGTATATAGGTAATTTGAAAAAGAATGCGCAAAAGCATGGGTAAAACTTATGATTCGCTAATTAGTTTTGTAAGGTGACTGTACATCGACATTTATTCGACCCAAGTCTCAACCTGATCTTCCCTGATTTTCCGCCTAGTTATCTATCTTTGCGTTCGTACTTCTCGCCCCTGCGATGACAATCATAACGAGTCTCGATCTGATCGGCCCTCTCTTCCTTGCCTTGAGAACTACACCCCGTCAATTGAGTGGTATGCGCGCGCGGCTCCTTATGCGGGCTAAAATCGGTGCTGACACTAATCTGATGGCGCGCCTTCCAACCCTCGAAGTATCTCGCCTTGAGGCAAAAGACCAAGCAGCTTTTATGGTTCCGGGTTACTATCTGGTTCCCCTCAATTCTAAATGAATTAGCTGTATCCAGAATATACGGATCAGAGAACAGACTGTCTCTCACGGCATCGCGGACAGGGGCTTCATCACCGACAGGAGTCTCATCGCCACTTTGCTCTTCTTCATCTACATTGTCGCTGATAAGGTCATGATCTTCGTGGTTGCCGTCATTTATACCGTCGCCGAAGGGGTTGCAGTTCATAGTTACATCACCGTCCTTGTCAGTCATGTCCATATGTATCAGCTAAACGAAGTATCTTAATGCATAGTTACCGGGGAGAACAGAAGCACGTTAGTATATGATTTACTATCTCGTCAGGACAAGGCGTAGCACTGTCGGTCGGATAACATACCAGAGCATCTGCGAGGGCACGTAACGTTTGGTCCAAGTGCTCGTTAGTCACACTCTCAGATTGGTTCAATTGATTGAAGCAGAACATATCAATGTTTTATGCTTGTTTATTAAAACGCCAGTAAGAAACGTATTGGAGCTCTTCGCTGCTGTTGACGGTACTAATGATGGAATTAATTTTTTCTAAGGCGACCAAGTCTCGCGGTGGAATTCCACAGACCATGCTGCCTTCTTGGAACCTTGCTCGACGGCATCTAAGAAACTATCGGGTCCTCCCACAATGACTGCGGTGGTTTTTCCATTCTTCTTGTCAGAACTCATTCCAACCTGGTGTGCAACCAGCTCTTGGATTGACTTTTCCACATCCAGACGTATGGGCTTGAATCGAATGCTGCCATCGGGGATGGTCAGTTGGCTTGCCAGCACAGATCTTATGTACTTGGCCTGATCGTCCACACTTTCCATGTTGCTCTTGGTATCGCGTCGAGAGGACCACCGTGCGACAAAGATGAGCAGATAACCAATGATCGAGGCCGCAACAATATGCAGGACGCCGGGGGTCATGGTATAGTTCCACATGCACTTGTTAGTCATGTTTTGATCGTAGATCTGCGTCGTCCTGCACCAGCGCGACTCACCATCCCACGTGCCCTCCAAGCCTGCGTATCGAAGGCCAATAAATGCGCCAAATGGAATCAAAAGTATGGCGGCGGTGATGAGCAGATCGCGTCTGGCATGGATCGTGGAGACAGTCGCAGAGTCGGAGGCGAGGAATGTCGGCAGAGATCGGTCGACATATCGCTCGCTGCTGTTACTATGTTCATTCTTGGATACGACAATGGCGGCAATTGAGATGTCACGGCCGTGTGCATCCAGTTGAACAGGCTCGATCGATATGATTTCCGCGTCGACATCTGTGTTGGAATTGGCGGATGCCTTGGCCATGATCTTTTCATCGCCGCCAAAAGCAGGCTCAGCATCGGCGGTGATGGCATGCAGGAGAGACTTTGAGGGGCGAGAGACATAGATGTCGGCCCACAACCAAGATGTGAATCGGGAGTCGTGCGTGATCTGGTGTAGGAAATCGCCGTAGGCATAGAGCTCGCTCTCGTAGCGGAACGTGCAAATAAGGTAGACCTTGATGGTGCTTTGAGGCTCAGAGGACGCAGACTTGGCGTCGATTTGCGCGGCGATGGATTTGATCAGCGGCATGAATGTTGTAATAGCAGCTCCCGCTAGGAATAGGACAGTGAAGCAGGAGATGATAGGAGAAAATAGAGAGCAAGGGTTTAGTACCTGAATGTCGATGATGGCCGGTAAAGAGACAGTGCAAAACGCAAATCAGTGAAGCAGTATGCCTTACCGGCGTAGAGCACTACGACATCCGAGCAAAGATAGTCATGGCGGCGGTCTCCAAAGACACCCTCAACATTCATGGGAAGCATGACTGGCTCGCCGCCCTTGCCACAGAGACCTGATACAGCATGCGTCCAGCTGTTCCTGTGCTCACCAAACGTCCTGATGTAGAGCGTCATTGAGTATGGGTCCTCAGCCCAGTAGGAAGCGATCGTGAAGGGATGGTAGATCTCGCTGAGTGACCTCAACTGAAGACTGATATAATCGCCAGGATAATACGGCTTCAATGGCTCGAGTCGACTTCTGGAGGTGATCACGATGGTCAAAATATCGGTCTCGTTGTTGAATGTGCAGATTACCTCGGGGGCTACCGAGAATGACTGTATAATCTTGGGGACGAATCGATCCGCAAGGAAAAGACACATCGAGGGGATAACGTAATACCAGGTCATGAAGTATGGGTAATGCATGAGTGTGCCTGCAAATGTGATGACCGTCAAGTAGCGATGCGTGACCAGGAAAACGACGTAGAACCGACGACGGATATATGGGATCGAAAGAATTCCTAGCGCGATGACCGCAGCCTGAAGCGTCCGTTGGTGGTTAAATGATTCGTGTTAGTTAACAAGATTCTTTTAAGTGAATGTGTGTGTGTCACCACCATCTTGGCGAAAGGAATAGGCGCAGTATGGCTATTGAAGGAAGTATTAGAAAATCTTCTTACCAAGGCGACAAAGCCGAGAATGTTTTGAGGTCCTCGAGTCTCGCCATCAAAGTTAATCTCCTCAGCTAGGGCATCTTCCGCGATGATGTGGACCATGTATCCAACTGGAAATCAAGCAAGTAAAAAACGAGTTTAGCGCAAAGAGAAGCGTGAAATTAAAAGTTGGGCGAGGAGGGATAGGATGGGGCGATTCTGAGGACGTTCACTTACTGGTGTGTACGACGGACCAAAAAATGAACGCGAAGCCCATTCCGCGATGGAGAGGCAAGAGATCTTGGTAGGTGAAGCCGAGAGCGTGGAGCATGGAACGACGGAGAACTAGGAACAATATCATACCACAGGACCCCATCGCGGCATAACCACTTCCGTATCCTATATAGGCTGTTTATCAGTTGATGCATGACATTGTAAGAGATATGAAATATGCCTTTTAGTATGAATTATGTATTGACAACAAAAAAAGGGAAAAAATGCAACAGCAGCAGTAGTAGTAGTAGTAGTAGTAGTAGTAGTAGTAGTAGTAGTAATAACAGAAGCAACATCAACAGCAACAAATACAATTGTCAAGATTGCTTACATCCCCAAACAATCGCGAGAGGACCTTCTTCCTCTGCAAGGGCTTCACCAATGTCGTTAACCCACGGTTGAAAGAACCAAACTAGATTTACAGTAGTCGCAATAAAAACAAGCGCCCAGTACTTGTAGGTGAATCCGACCCAGGGGTCATGCTCCTCCCATATTGAGATCTGGTTCAACCAATTGGCTCTCCTTTGCTCGGAGGTCTGGGATACAGGCCACGAGACTCGGCTGATGCTCCGCTGGAAAATCGAGTCTGCACGGTAATAGTGGCCCCAGACTGTGACGAAGTGACTGACGATCGAGGGGGAGATACAGAGGCCCCAGAAGTAATAGTCACGGAGTCCGACATGATATACATCTGCAACTTCGGCTTTTGTGTGCCAGAGCATGTTGAAGTCGCCGAGCCAGAAGGCTAGCAAGAACAGCATCCCTAACAGGGAGAAGAATGCGTATGCGTACATCTTTGCGGCTAATGTGTGCTTTCCTATCCGTGTGAAAATGAAAGACGAAGACCAATGGAACGATAATACAGGGAAGCAGAGAAGAAGCAGGGCGGGGGTGGCTAAGGGAGGGATGCTAGCGACTGCCGGGGTCAATCGCTAAAAATTTTCTTGGGACGAGAGGGGGGTGACCGTAGGAAACTGTGAAGGGCTGGGCAAGGATCAGAACATAGCGGGGAAGGAAGTTGTCTTTTATATCATTTCCTAAGATGGGATACATTCATCTCGGCGATGGTACAATCCAGACGATTTTGCTTCGTGCTGGGGAGGTTATTTTAACAGCGATCTAGATTAAGTCCAGTCGAGTCATGATGCAGCCGCATGGATGTCTTTGGATACCAGCGGTCGCTCTATTTACCGGGATTAGGACCTTATCCTTGCCTGCATGTGCCAGACGGATCTGTAATAGGAAGTAGGTGTACATACTCAAATTCTTTGAGTAGCCTGGTTTTCGATCCGTGGTCTGCTATAATTTGTCAGACCCCGAAGGGAGAAAGTACAAGGCGCATGTACCGAACAACACTAGTCTGCGGCCGCGTGGGATTCAGTGTTTTCTCTGTGCATCCAACGCTGGAGAGTAACGTACCATAGACTATCCTGGCTCGGTTTGTTCGGTAGAAAGAACCCCCTGGCTCTAGACTCGGTAGAGACCGTATTAGCCGATCTCCTTCCAAGTCAGCAAACAAACTGACATTGAAAACCCCAGATGGGCGTATGGTCGCACACTAAAGATGCGAGATCGTGTCCTGTCGCTTATCAGATTCGTGTGTACTTCACTTCACCCAGGCCAGATTGGGCGTAAATCCAAGGATCTGATAAATAAAATCAGACAGAGTTACAGTAGGGTGTGGTCGTAGTTTCAAAAAAAAAAAAAAAAAAAAAACATACACACACAATGATGGCAAGGGAAAGTACAAGAAAGGATGAATGGGGGATACTTTGAAGCCCAGATCCCTTCTTTGGATGCAAAACGGGCAAACCCAATTATACGCACACGATGCGAAACTACAGAGCCAAGGACTCTACGCGTGTTACCTCTTCTCCGGAGCTGGAGTCATCTTTAGATAAATACATACACAAGGATTCAGCAATAACAGCCTGGGATCACCTACCAGTGAGCAGCCTGATAGATATCGACAAGCATTATGGCATCGTATTTTCGGAAGCACACATTCGTGGATCGCAAGAACAAGGATCGCGGGATTAAACAACATGTTTCACGCTGTGTTGTTTTCTCGTTGAAGAGAAGGGGTGGACTCCTCAAGGCAGAACAAGTTTCTATTCTCCCAAGTATCTTTTCTTTATGAGCTAGTGCAGGATGGCTGGATCGATCAATAAATCCCCAGAGATCGGCGTTCTTTCTTCTCCTGTACACCCACTCAATCATGTCCGCTAAACGTATCAGGCCCTCGCCTTCACTCCGGCATCATCTAAACGAGCAACGTGGATGGTTCCTCTGTATACTTTGTCCCCATGCTTAAACTTGCAATAGATTAAGGTTAACACTTACTATCTAATAACAATTAGACACGAGACAAGAGCGGGATCTTTAATAGCACCGTCCGGTCCCCATTATATAGGTCGCCGGACGGTCTTTTCTATTTAACTGATCCTAGTAAAGTGCCTGTCCAATTTGGCACAGCTCCGCTCCCATAGGAGGCGTAAGCTCATGTTGGGCCGATTGAAAACCTCAAGTAAATAAAATTATAAAATTCAAGGGAAAGTTTAAAACCTCTACATGACAGTTGTAATAATCACTACAAGGCAAAAAGCAAAAAGGCCTTGCGAGAGAACCCCTGAAGGAGAACTTCTGTCGTGATTCAAGGGGAAAGTTCATCAAAACACATTCTCATACTCCTCTATTTTCTGCCCGCTGATTTGCTTTGTGGCCCATCTCGTCCTTATATTGACCTTTGGTGGGCGACCGCGTTTAGGTTTCGAGGTGGTTACACTATCAGCAGAATTGTTCATATTATTTTTACGTGCTTCTGGACGCTGCGTCAAAGTGACTCGTGCTGATTCTGCTTCGCCTGTGGCTCTTCAAAGTTTGACGAGGTTGCGGTCGAGAATGCGGTCCAGGAAGATCGCAGCTCTTCCAGTAGTCTGTAATACACTTTCTCTCAATAAAGTTTTCATCCGGGTCCTCTCTGTATACCCTTTCCAGCTTACGAAATATATTCCATCCCCCCCTCAGAATCATCCCGATGTTCGAGAATCTCTTCTACTTTGTAAGTGGTGTCGCCGCAGTCGTCTGGTACGAGTTTGAGCTGGGATGGGGCGTACTGGCGTTGAAGTAAATCGCCAGCGCCACCCTTCAAAACATACGCACCGCCAGTAGTTCTACGCACAACAACGTTAGGACCTTCATACTTGGGCGTCAATTTATCACCCAGGATAGGATCGAGAGTCATGACCTTGGCTCCATCAGGAAACTCATTGTGCAGTACCGTTCTGTTGAATCGCTCAATCATTCTTTTCTGAGTGGCACGGGACTTGGCGCTCACAGCTGGGAAGTCAACTTCAGTAATGTGTAGAAGTCGCTCCAAGGATTCGCTATGGGATAATCGTTCATCCTTGTTGTTTGAAAAATTATGAAAACCGTTAAATCGTCTGGCAAAAAATAACGAAAAAGGGGAGGAATTGTGCAATGCAGCAATCCTCATATTCATGGCTAAATGGCTAATTCAGCCACGGTGACATGTCGGTCCCGATTGCGTTTCTTCGCTTTGATTTCTTTACGGATAATGTTTACAGCTGTCTTAAAATGGTTCTCGGTGATATGGAGTAACCAACCGATGTTGTACACCCATCTCTGCGGTCATCACTCTCATAACCTCATTAACGAACTCTTTTCCATTGTCCGACTACAAAATGTGGGGATGGTAAATATCTTAAATAATTTGTGCGCTACGGTTGTTGCTGTCTTGTTTTTCATGGGCACGAGAAAGACGAACCGAATGCAGACATCTATTGAAATGAGCAACATGGTGTTCCCTTTGGTACTTTCTGGGAGAGGTCCGGCAAGATCTATCGCCATATGCTCTCCGGGCAGTTGGGCATGTATTGCAAACAGAGGATGATATCCCTTGTGTCCTATATTTACGCGTTGACATTCTGTACAGCGCTGAACAGATTCTAAGCAGTCTTTAGCCATCAAGGACCAAGTTTTGTTGAGAGAGTAAATACGATTGACCATGGCATTAGTGCCAAAATGGCCAAGCGCGTGGGTATCGGTCTTCTGCACCGCCTCTCTGGGAGTTTGATTATCCTGGATAAAATGCATGTAGGTATAAATCTTCGTAGGCTCATTAAGCACTCCTGGTTGGTAAACGACTTTAAACGTGTATTCCAGGATACTCTCTTGCCATCCAGTGAGTATAGAGTTCATCTTCTGAGAATGAATGAACGTCAGTGCGCGGTGGTCCGTGAATGACGTAGAATGATCCCACAGGGCGAATACTATCTCCTCTGCGTTGCAGAGTACTTCCTTTCTCTCTCCTGCAACGATCTCGCGAAAAATGATGCTCTTGGGATTCCCTTCGCTTTCAGGTATCTAATACAGGACAGCTCCAATCAGAATCGTGACTGAGCATGTGAGGTAGAAAAGAAATTCGGATGGCGATAGGGATGATCCTGAGGATGGAAGAAAGAGATTTAAACTATGCTCTTCACCGTGGTTCTCCTTCAACCACCGTGCCAAACATCTTTCTCCATATATCCTCATACCGGCACGTACACACGCTCATACACACAAACACACTCGAACAGCCAATTACAAACATGTCTCAGCAAAGCACACCCGTCATCGGCGACAGCACCAGCAACAGCACCAGCAACAGCACCAGCACCGCCACCAGCACCATTGCGCGTGCCCTTCCATGGGTACGATTCAACCCTGAGATCGACATCAAGATCTTTCATCCGGTCGGTCCACTCCTCGACTTCCCTGAGTACGAGAGATACAGTCAGGACGAATACACCGGATCGTCTATAGCATCGTCTTTCGACAACCTTCTGGCCGTTCCTGGGCCACCGCCTCGTCTTTCGTGGTCAGCATTGACCACCAAAGTGCCGTGCCGGGCTTGGGCTCTTACTCCTAGGGAGTGGAAGATGGTCGATACCGCTCGGCAGAATGCCTCCACAAGTTACCGAAAAGCGATGTATAACGCTGCTTATTGGAGCAGTCAGGTCGTCGCGGCCGACATAACACGTATGCGTAGCGGTCGAACGCCTGATGCCACTATTCTACCCGCACTGGACGAGGATCCAGCATTGAAGAGTCTCATTAAACAGTAGGGGGAGTGTGGTGACAAATCCATCCCTATTAGTAATCGTCTCTAGAGATCACTGGAGGTACTGGACTATATAGTAGAGTGGCAGGAAGGGTTCGCTGGATCACACCAGATCTGAAGACAGACATTGATGACAGCGATCAAGGGCACATATTTTATGGCATGCTCCAGACACTCTACGATATCATAAGCATTGCACACAAATGACCTCTTTTTGTGTTGGCCTTATCTCAAGCGTTTCAATCATCGTCTTCTATGCATCTTGATAGGTTATTCGGCTCAACTTTACTGTCTCTGGGAGAATGAATCCACATATGCGGCAAGGTGCTTGCGAGCGAGCCCGAGCTGGAGTGGTTCATGGATGGCAGATGCATAGCAGCGCTGATGTCATTAAGGATAAATCCACGTACAACGAGTTTGAACTACACTCCCTTTTGCCATAAAATGCACTTTTCATAGCAAAGGTGCATTTTATCGACTTTTGTCAACTGAATTGCAATATTTAAGGGGCGTTATTCATTAAGTTTATTTCTGTTTGGATATACGGATCAGCTCACGTGCTGATTTTCGGTGGCTCGCGACTTCACCCTCAAGCAACTCGATCGCCAAGCATGCATGCTGATGCAGATATGAGGCAAACTATGCGAGGATATAATGTGCGTCCTACGCCACCACCTGATTGAATAACGCCCCTTATATATTTCAATTCAGTTGACAAAAGTCGATAAAATGCGTCTTTGCTATGAAAAGTGCATTTTATGGCAAAAGGGAGTGTAGAGCAAGACCAACTATTTAAGAGCACCGTTGCCAATTGATGGAACCTCAAATAAACATCTACTCAACCACACCCCCAGACTTAAACCTATTGCACCACGCCCTTCTTTATTTTCTTGAACAATCCATGAGATGCGCGTTCTTTGCAACAACGTAGAGCTCTATTTTCCGATCTTGAAGCCGCCAAAGGATGCGGCTGCGGGAGCACCAAAAAGACCAGTGGCCGGCGTGCTGGTTGCAGGCGCACCAAACAAACCCGTGGTCGGGATGGTGGTTGCGGGCGCTGTGAGCGAAAATGTAGGTGCAGCACTGGTCATGGTGGCGGTGGTGCTAGGCATGCTTCCGAAAAAGTTGGTACCGGCTGCAGGTGCGGCACCAAAGAGTCCTGTGGTTGTTGGTGCTACTGCTGTTGTTGAGACAGCTGGTTTGGCGGTATTGGCATTGCCAGGACGAAGCGTCTCCTTTGCAATCTCTCTGAATGACTTTTGACCGTCCACAGTCCATCCGCTGCTCCGAAGTGAATGTACGTATTGACTGGTGTCCTTCTTCCGATGTTTGCTACTTGTCTGGAATGGGTCCGAGTCATCGTCATAGTATTTGCGTCTGAACATAAGATACGCCTTTTCCTTATCCCTGATTTCGTCGTGCAGAGTAGCGACTCTTCCTGCCACGGTCAAAAAGGCCCCATGTTGGTTTCTCATTACTTCGGGGAGCGCTGAAAAACAAGGAGAAAAAAACATTAAATTAATCAAAGGTAATTGGGCTTTTAGTATTTAAAATGGAGAAAGCGGAAGTATACCTTGAGCCATAGGAGGATGCTTGGCCCCAAAGGATGCAAGATGGCGCTCAATTTCCTATGGGATTGATGTATTTAAACAAATATTACGTTAGCTTGTTTATGGCGCAATTGAGGACTCTTTCTGGTCCGCAAAATAGACCTTGCGCTTTGGAAAAAAGAGCTTACCTCAATCGTGCTCCGGAACTGCCTCAGTTGCTCCTCAAATGACTGGCATCGGTCTGTAAAGTATCTGGATATCGAGCGAATAAGAAGGATGTTGGTGAGTCGATCTACTGTTGCATGCTGTGAATGGACAGGGTATGCAAGTAGCCAGTAACTTACTGTCCTGCAGAATTGTCTCCGGCATATAAAAAGTTGGCGCGCGACGTGTCCGCATATGCCTCGATAGTCCTTCCAGCAGAGTCGGCCTGCTTGAGCTCCTGTCCAACATTATCCTGCAAGGCCTGAATCACCTTTGTGTCACGATCCAGCGCATCATTCAGTGTTGCCAATCTCTGTCATAGTCCAGAGTATTGTATGATCAAAGTCATATTAGTCAACAACCTAGAAAAAGAAATCGCTGGGATGCCACATAGTGTGAAGAAAAGAAATCACACCTTTGAAAGCTCTTCTGTGTCCTTAGAGATTTTGTCAAGCGACCCAGATGGTCGTGCAGTGAGTGTTGCAGAGAGGTGGATTTGACCCTGGAGAAACGAACTGAGTAAATAGTTTTAAGTAACAGAATCTGTTTGATATTTGAAAGGCTGAGACATGCCATTGTATACAGTCGATGTATAAACACAATCCTGGCGCCTTACTGAAACTGATCAAGCATGTTTTTCGCATCCACGGGCAGCTCAGTGTATTTGGTCGATCCAGCAATGGTATCAGGCGTGAGAGCTCTATATCGAATAAGATGAAAAAGGACACGACACTGATTATTCTTACACAATGTCGACCAGTACTGCTGGAGAAGCGAATGTTGCTTCATGTCATTAGACCGATTATTACGCTGCGGGTGTTGCTGTCAAGGAAGAGGCGGTGAGGGTGTTCTTTTGGGCAGCAGTACTGAGTGCGTTTGAGGCAGCAGTCGAGCTGGCATTATTAAAGAGCGATCCAGTAGAGAGGGCCGCAGGCGCAGCTGCAAAAAGACTGGGGGCAGCTGTAGCTGAGGTCGACGCGGCAGAAGTTGAGACAGCAAGGGTGGGATAGAGCGAAGCCGTGGTAGTGGTGGCAGTTGGAGCGGCAGTTGGTAAAGCAGTAGTTACAGCAAGGTTTGATGCGGCTGAGGATGCTGGTGTGGCCCCTAGGGACCCAAATGGGCTTGCTGTGGTGCCTCCGAAAGGGTTTACCGCTGTGGAGGTAGTAGGCGCAGTGGCACCAAAGAGACTAGGCGCCGTGGTGCTTGCAGGGGCAGCCGGTGTAGAGGTGGCAGTCCCAAATCTATTTGATGATGAGTGTCGTGTCCATTAGTTAGCAAAGACTGGGATAAATGTCCATCGTTGACAGAGAAAAATTACCACCGGCCTGTTTTCTGTTTTGCACTTGCCCAAAGAGCGACATTGTCTAGGGGTACTGAAAATGAGGGCGCGTTGTTGATGAGTGGACGACGACGCGCTGGATTAGGAGGATCTGTTCGTTCGCGTGCTTTGACCTGTTTGTCGCTGTTGGGGGCTTCCTTGATTGAGCTGCACCTTCCTGTGTCTGCTTGGTGGAGCGTCTTCGATGGTGGTGAAAGTGAAGATTGAAGAAGTGAAGGAATTGAGTCCTAGGACGAAGGAGAGAATCGCAGAAAGAGGGATCAGAGCCGGTGGGCACACGTCTCTTTTTTATTCGGTGGCGCAGTTGGTCACTGAGCCTGAGGAGGCCAAAAAAACAAAAAGAGAGGGTGTTCCTGAATTACAGGGCCAAATTTTAGGGGTCTTTGCAGAAATTCACGTTGTTAACAATCCAGTTGTCTAGAATAAAATAGCTTGCGCACTCGAATAAAGGATTGCCTCCATTCTTATTGCTATCCTCCAGGGTACATGTTTACAGTCATTTGGAGACTCCAGTCTAGAAGCCTTTGGCGCCATTTTTTTCTCGTCGGCCCCCTCCTTTACGCGAAATACACTATGTTGCAGTAACTGCAGTTTTTCGCCGACCCAGTCTAGGTGGTTTACGAGAACAGTGCAAGATACGAATGAAATAATCAGTGTGAACACGGGGCCTTTAAAGAAACGTCATTCCGCACATCCTTGACCCCACTCCTTTCCTCATCCACTCCCCTATCGGCCCTCAAGCACTGTCGCATATTCTTAACGTGAGTCTTGAATGCTTCTGCGAATGGATACGTGCACCAAATTTGATTCTCATTAGCTGTCTACTTTGATTTGGCCTTTATCGTACCAGATGGGAGCCACTGGGCTACTCAAAGCTATAGAAGACACCAAAGGAACGCTAGCTTATGATCTGCAGAGCAAGAAAGTTCATGTCAATGTCTTAAGTCTGTACTTTGGATCCTTGCAAACAAGGACCTTCAAAGCGACGTGTAACAGAGTCGCCAAAGAAGCGAGAGCTGAGGCAGCGGCTACGACAAATACCAGCGTACCAGCGGCTTCCGTCCTAACAGCAACGGCGACCTTTCTCGCAGTGCCCACAGCCCCTGCAGTCTCCACAGCCTCAGCAGCGCAAGACGCGCCTTCTGCTGTAGACGCCAGCACTAGCAGGAGAAGCGGCATCAAGAACCCGCCCTGAGTTTCTCCGAGGCTCCATCCAAGCGAGGAAAGGCTTGCCCTAGTTATGCAAGCGAGGTACAGGCTGCCGGCGTGCAACATCCTGCACTGTTCATTGGCCCTAACGGACGATTGACACCAGACCGATCTGGAATAACAGAGCAGGTAATTAAATGTGCCAATGATTTCGTATCAGCTTGCACAGCATAGCAACCAAGTGCTGACACATGTTCTGCTGTTTCGTCCCTTGGTCCTGCCTCATCTCTAGTCACAGAATTACGGCCACATAGCGCACGATCTCAACAAAATCATGTCAAAGCACTTTAGCAAATCAACCACGGTTCTACACTTTGACGGAGAGGCCTCGATACAAAAGTCCCAGGAGCGACAAGATCGGGCCATATCCCTCAGCAACCGGATCAAGACTCTGGAGGTGCGAGTAGACAACGCCATAGGAAAAAACTGCGGCTCTTTGGGCCCCCTGTACAAGCAATGTCGAAACGCCTACAAGACATCCAAGGCAGCGCTGGCAGACATAAGAAATGGCTGGAGACCTTGGAGCGGCACACCTACGAATTTCCCTTCCAAGCAGGCACGCACATTGCCGAGTTGTATCAAGCTGATAACAACAAAGACGACCTCGCAATCATTACCGCCGACAGTGATATGATGGTATATCAAGGTGTTAGAGAAATCACTATACCCGTCGGAAAGTACCGAGAGCTTATCACGTACAAGAAGGCTGACCTGCTCGAGTCTTTGGACCTCGCATGTGACCGTGAGCTGTTGCTGGCATCAATCATTACTAAGAACGATTACTCCAAGGCACTCCCGTGGCGCGGCCCCCAAAGAAACGCCAAGGTCATTCGAGAGCTGAGGACCGAGACCGCAGCAGGCGATGGATCGACAATGGACGCGCCAGGATCCAAGAGGACTGAGGCTGGCATTATCAAGGAGCTGATCCAGAAGTATTTGCAGCGGGCGAAAGGAGGACAGAACAAGAATGTGGACGATTACACTCACGCCATTTCGGCTTTCGTTCAAGTGCGTGAGGACTATCTTGACTCGCTACGCCATCGTGCACGATCCACGAGAAAATACGGGGCATACTCCAGAAGCTCGAGAAGTGCAAGCTGCGAAGGAGAAATATGACTCGAGCCTCGCGGACAAATCCTCCAGTCGATGCACTCACCAGCGACACTTCCGCAGGCTTGGCGTTTTCTTCCCATGCCCAGCACAGCCTGCAGACGCCTGGACAGCAGATGATTCTTCAGGCCCGACGCCGTCGCCGCAGATGTAAGGAAGGGAATGCCCAGCAACGGAGAAAGCGACGCCCCAAAGGCAAAACAAGACGTAAAAAAGTCCGGGAGGCAAAATGGAGATGAAGCAGGTATGATTGTCGTATGACTTTGTTAGCGAGTTCAAATCCATTACGACCTTTTACAGCTTTGTCGCTTCGGTACAATCATCTTATTGTTTTTTTTTTTTTTAATTTTTGGATTGTCCCTTAGGTACAAGAGCAGGAACGGAGATGCCAACCCTCGTTATCCCCTCATGTTGTCATGGATGTCAGCCAGTCATGCCCGGTTGACAAGGTCGCATTGGAAAGATCTCCATCGAGGAACCGCGCCCGCGGAAGAAGAAGGACGGAAGTATGGATGATAATCCTAAGGCCGCGAGTGAAACCAAGACGAAGTCCAAGAAGGACGAGGAGAATGGTGAAAAAGTGGAGAGGCGAGCTGGAGCTAACCTGACTAAGCACCTGTTCGGGGAGGCTTTCAAGACTACCGCAATGACTGCAGGGTCGATCACAGGATGCCTGCACCGTACCACGAAGCTCAACGTAGTCCAGACCAAGATCGTCGCGGAACGCATCAGCGAGGCGGTCCGCATCATGAGCCAAACTCGTATTCTCGTGTTTAAAGCGCTCGAGCTTTTCCTCTACAAGGAGGTCAGCACTGCCACCACATCCAATTCAGATCAAGCGCGCCCGGCGCCAAACCAGAACTTGGGCACTGATGTCAATCAAGCGAGTGCTCCGAAAGTCCAGCACAAGAAGCACAAGAACGCGGACCCACTTGATCTCATTCTGCACAAGGCACATGGGGAAACTATCATCAGAAATTTGATCTCTTTGGTTCTGAATGGCCCAGTAGCGCCCCGCGGAAGACCATCTAAAGACCCGGCGGCAACTCAGGCGAAAACAATTGCGCGCTCAATTTATGACAATTTCCAGAGCGTTCTTTCAGATTGCATACCGACAAAGGACTGCCAAGATATACCCCTAAGTGTCATCCAGGCGGAACTGGCGGTGGAGGTCCGGACCGCGGTTCGGGAACATTTCCAGAGGCTGCCCAAGTTCATCGTGAACAAGGTAACATTTCCATGTCCGGAATAAGACATATCTCGCGTCGATTTGCTTTTCCACTGTGGATTTACGTTTATTTCTTGTTTCTATTAGCTGAAGCGCGCTCGTTTATTCACGGACGATATACCTCCACTTGAGGATGATGAGAGCTCCGACGGCGATAAACAAAAAGACAAGATGCCATTTAAGAAGGGGCACATCCAAACTTGGTGGAGGTACTTTCTCCGTGTGCCGTCAGAGTTGCGTCCTATTTTCTGTCCAGTGTCGAAGTTAGGAGACTCTTTCATCTTATGCTCTGAGACTGCCATCCTTTCACTTCTTTGGGGCAATACAAATTCAAAGACGCGCCCTGCGCGGCATATCATGGAATCTCAAGTCTGCTCTTCCGAGATGGCCCACGAACTTGCATCAGAGAAGTATGGGGAGCTTTTCCGACTACTATTTATCAGATACAAGGTCGAGACCAAGGCGGATCCCCTCAAGAACCAGACTTCATATGGAAAGAAAACAACGACCATGAACCGATTGCTGAAGGACCATCCAAATACATACGGCCAAGCTGCACTCGATGGGTACATGAAGAGGGTCTTTGCAAACCACAAGGCTAGGAAGCAAGCAGCTGCCGAAGGCACGGAGCCTCCCGTGCCCCCTGCCTTCCCAAGTAATGACAGCGTCAAGGAGCACTATGCCATCAGCAATATGATGAGAACAGACGGAGTCCAGCTCCACCTAATGGCATTTGAAATACGACGACGATGGCAGTCATACAAAATTAAGACGCGGATCCCGGAGATTACATCGTGATCTCTTAACAAAGGGTCTCTTGCAAAGGCTTTCGATCAAGACCTCCAGAATGTTATGGTTGTGAGGATGGACCCCGGTGAAGTAGTTTCAGCATCATTTTGTGCGCTGGACCCTCGAAAACCGAACCAAGTCACGAACCTGCCTATCAGAGCTCCGCTCTCTACAGTCCCAGCTTGTCATTCAGAGCCGCGTTGGAGGCCAAAAAACGCGAACGGGCCACTGTCACAATCAAAGACAATGCAGGACTGAGTGGGCACACATGCGAGACGCCTAGCATATCGGAATTGGAAGCCTCGCTACCGTCGTCGTCATTCGTAAGCATGGAAGAACACCGGCGCGGCCTCCGACAGTTCAGCTATGTCCTACAACCATTTCGCGATTTTTACGGATCCCGTTCGATGAAAAAAAAGCTGTGGGAGCTCAAAAAGGCGAACCGGGCTGAGAAGGATCATGCCGTGCATGGAGCATTGCGAACTATGGACCCACAAGGCGGGATGCATACTGGGCCAACGAGACCGGCGATGTTTGTATACGGGTCAGGAAAGTTCAATATCCATACCAGGCTACACGAGAGCTTCAAAAGGTATTTTTTCCACAAAGTATGTTGTTATAAACATATTCGTTGCAATTTGCTTGTTTTCAATCCAGTATCGATACTGATGCCATGTTTCCGCATGCCATTGCGCTACATAGGCAAACAGCTCGGGTACACCGTCGTTTGTTCGGATGAGTATCTCACGTCATCGAAATGCCCGAGCTGTGTACGACAAAACAAGGACCGAAGAATAGCAAAGCCAGTGAATCGAGCATTCGTCTGTCTCGAGGATGGGTGCCAGAGATGGCTAGACAGGGACTGTGGGCGCCCAGAATTTGGCTAATATTGGTCTCGAATGGATCAGTAGCCTGTCTCGCCCAGAGCCCCTCCGCCGGCCCCAGCAAGAATAACTGTACTGGCCGTATCAGTTAAAATTTATCCTAGGTGGCTGTCTCTCTTTCTAGTTGAGACGGTCTAAGGGATAAAGTTGAACTATTAGCAATACTAATACGAGAGCGAGTATTTCCATATTTGTCTTATTTGTCTTCATCCTACCATAATCCCCTCTTCACGTTGGGGGCCCCCGTGGTATCATTCTTGGGTGTCGAGAGTTTGAAGATGACTCCAGTGCTTGCTGACTGGCGGTAGTAGTGGTACTGGTAGCTAGAGCCGGGAGTAGCTTAGAAAAAAGTGTGAGCTGGGCATGCTGGGCTTGTTGGGCTTGGGTTTGCGGGACTTTCAGGGCTTTCGTATGCCACCCTAGGTCAGGGATAAAGGTTATATTTGCATTGAAGCATGGTTCTGTAAGGAAAGTTGGGGATGCGTAGGAGGAGGGTTGATAAAGTCAAAGGTGTGCTTTGGTGAAATGAAGGTGCATTGCAAGGGAGGGAGCAGTGGAGAGTTGCCAAAAGGCGTAGATTTTATGGGCATGAACGCATGCCTGCACTGTCAAGAACACGAAGCCTTTTGTTTCGGCAGATCTTGATAGATGTGGGGAAATAAGAGGACAAGGTGTGATTGATAGCGTCAAATCTTTTACTCATGCACACAGAATAGACCCTGCGGAACAATCAGTTTGGCGCGTCTTCTGTCTCCGTCGCATTATCTTTTAAACTGAGAGAGCCTAACAAAGGAACGGATCGCTCAAAACAGCCATCCTCTATGGTTCTGGTTACAGCAGGGTTCGTCCAAATACACAAACATGGCATCCTTATACTTGTCGGACCGTCGCTCTTGAAGGTAGTGCCGCCTCTTGGCCTTGATATCCTCTGACTCGACAAAATTCCTAGTGTTCCTGACATCCTGATAACGGAAACCCACTTTCTTCATCAACAAGCGAATCGCTTCCTTGCCTGGAATCTTGAATTGATCCACAAATAGCACCTTGATGCGGTTAAAAAGGACTCTAACGTTAACAGCTTGTCCCTTGATGTTCATTTCCGTTGCGACCCATCGAAGATCTGAAGCAAACGATAGAGTGTGATTATAGCGTAGATGCATGCCTCGGGCGTCTCCGTTATCCTTTTTCAACACGATATTCTTGACGGTATTGAGTGAGAATCCCATGTAATAGGCCTTTCGTGAAAAAAAAATCCGATGTCGTAACAAGTTTCGCGTTCTCTTTTTCTCCCTGCAAAGCTCGTAGCAATGAAGTACTGCTCTACGCCCCTCTACAGACACCCTTTTTCCTGAAGGCCGTTTGACTGAAACGAACGTATTGCTAGGAGGCGTGACCTTTCGCAATTCTCTGATCTGGCTCTGCAATAGCTTGGCCTTCTGCAGCCTCTCAATCATCTCCAAGGTCTCCGAGGCTATTGGCTCTTCCTCTTTTTCCAGATCGTTGGACAGAGTTTCGGAAAGAGGATCAATGCAGGGGCGTTTTCTTAAAGTTGTCGCGGATGACTTGTCCGGCGAAGTAGCATGGGCTTCAGACAAGAACGTGGCTTTGGCAACTTGTATATCGTTGTCGTCGAAGCCATCTTCCATATCTAAGGCTTCGTCCCAACCTACGGCCAACTCGCTCGGAATTTGTCGGCCGATTCTCTCCTCGCGTCGCTCCTTCTTCCTACGTTGGCCGCGGTCTGAAACGGAAACAAGTGCCTTGTCTTGATGGCAGACCATTGTATTACTAGCCTGCCTTTCCGCTCAAATGCTTTGCGTCTGTACGGAAATATGCTGACATTTTAGTTGCTGCAACCCACGTTTACATGAATATGACCGTGAGATGAAGACAAAGAAGAAGGAGGGAACGAAGAGAAGTACATGCGATACATGTCGCTTGGAGAGTAAGGGTGTGATATCAATGGAAGCATATGAACAAAGCGCAGCCCCTGCAACAGTCCATCTGACAACACTCGTTTTTGTTCATTCCGCCCTATCGTCATTTACTAAACGTGAAAGGTGTTTTTCTTCGTTCAGTCATCCCAATTCCCATTCACTCCCCTTCAAGTCATCCCAACCCCAATTAACGTCTTATCTTCATAACAATACCCTCCCATACCCCTCACCGCCACCATCAGCTCTACTCCTACTACCACTGCCTTCGCCACCATCCCCTTCTCTTGCTAGTCCCTTTTTCCTGTCGACTCTAATAATGTATGTCTTTTTCTTTATGTCTCTCTCTCTTTCTTCCTCTTAACTGGACTCAGCCGATTGACTGACTGACTGACTGACCAACTGACTGACCAACAGTGGAGATGTGGTGTGGGGGGAAAGAACGCACCGACGGATAGGGTCACGTCTGCTACCATTTGTCAATTGCCACAATCCTCACTTTATATCGCTTGTGTTTCTCTTTCCCTCCCGCCTCGGCATCCTTTTTTTTTCCTTCTTAGCTAAATCTGCTTTTAATATAACTAACCCAAGCCCAAGTCGTCGCTCTCCCCTCCTCCACATCTGCCAAGACATACACCCCTTCACAATGACTGAAATCCGCCGAAAGCTCGTTATCGTCGGTGATGGTGCCTGTGGCAAGACCTGCCTGCTCATCGTCTTATCAAGGGGCACCTTCCCTGATGTATCACACAGTGCAGCGGCGACAATTTTCTGACAGCAACAGCAAAACAACAGCGAAGAAGTATTACATTCGAACTTACTCAACGCTTTTCTATACCTGCAACCAGATTTACGCCCCCACGGTCTTTGAGAAGTATATGGTCGATATCGAGGTGGATGGCAAGCACGTCGAACTCGCGCTTTGGGACACTGTCGGTAAGACTGTTCGCTTCCTTGGCCGTCCTCAACCTCCTCTTTGCTAGACGAACAAAAATGTCAACACGCCTCTAAACACTATCTCGTCCTGTGCTGAATAGGCCAGGAGGACTATGACCGTCTTCGTCCTCTCTCGTACCCTGGTTCGCATGTGATTCTCATCTGCTTCGATCGACTCGCCTGATTCACTGGAGAACGTACAGGAGAAGGTAAAAGAAGAATCGACCCCCTCCCCTCTCCCAAAAACAACGATAACGACAAGGAGAACGACAATAACAACGACAAAATCATCAAGACTAAATACTTTGTATTAATCTTTTTTGCTGCTCAATTGCCAAATTTATAGTGGTTCTCTGAGGTTCAGCACTTTTGCGGTGGACTTCCCATCGTCTTGGTCGCATGCAAGAAAGACCTCCGATTTGACCAGCGCACAATTGACGAGCTGAGGAGGAGCAACCAGGCTCCAGTGAGCCCCGAGAGAGTACGTAACATTATCATCGGACATATCTACTTAAGCAACGCCGCCTTCTTCATATAGTGGAGTCTACTTGACTGCTGTGCAATTGTGGAGATGAGCCGCCATCATGTGGATATTAACATTATGTTTTCTTATTGGTAAAATTCACCTCTTAGGGTGCCGAAATTGCTCGCCACATCAAGGCTAGGGACTACCTAGAGTGTTCGGCCAGGACTGGCGAGGGTGTTCGCGAGGTATTCAAGAGCGCTACCCGCGCGTCGTTGCTGGCCAAGCCCAAAAAGAGTCATCGCAGCAGCAAGAACTGCCTTGTCCTTTAAGAACCTATCTGATTTCATTCCTAGCCATTCTGTACATGGAGCCGCCAATGTATAGGCCACGCAGGAAAATAAAATGTGACCCTGAAGACTAAGCGGAATCAAATAAAGACACCGTCTGAAAACAATTGAAAGGACTCTCTATTCATGTAGCCATCGTGTATGCTGATAACTGCCACAAGCTTGGACAAGGACCAGACGCGTGGAAAGTGCAGTATTGTCCAGTCACAAAAAAAAATGATTCGCGTGTAGCGTGGAAGAGAAAAATGGCGGTTACATTCATACTCTCCATCCCTCTCCTCTACAACGCATCGCTTTCGCACGCCATGGCCACACTCAACCAGGATACGACAACGGTTGTTCTCAACCAGCCCAACAACTCAGGATTGCACATCGCCTTGTATGTGACTCATTACACGGTCCGAAAGTGCAGGACATGCCTTTACTTTGCTGTTATCGTTGTGGAAGGCCAATGAAGCAACTGAGAGGCGCAGTCTACTGTGGGAACACGAACACTTTGACCGGCAACAGCTGCAAAATTGCCTCTCACCCCTAGCCTTGCTTGTGGACAAAAAGCACTCATTGCTCTTTTAGGACTTGTACTCTTTGCTGACTGAACGCTACTATTGACAAATAGACATCCGCTGACACTGCTTAATATCTCGGACCATTACACGCGAACTGCTATACAGCAAGCAGACGGAGGCTCTGTTCATGGTAAGGAGACATTGTCGTATGATCTTACCTAAAGACAAAGGAAGCTTGCGTCCTATTAGATTGCCCAATAAACGTATTGACGCGGAATGTTACCTCTCTCTGTTCTTTCGGTCATAGTCATTGGAGCCTTGCTTGGCATTCAATCTGGACGTGAAGTGGAAATATTCAACTCTTATGAACTGCTGTTTAATCTGCAAGCGGACGGCTCTATTCGAATTCACGAGGAGTACTTTGTCACAAAGCAGGAGCAATGTAATGAATTCGTACAAAGCCCATAAGCTTTATCTACCGACTCTGTCCTGACTGTCTGTCTGGATGATACGGCGTCTGATAAAACAACGTTTCGCATCCTCATCTTCGTGCTGAATAGTCCGACAGGTGTTTCCAGCCTATGATTTCCTGGGATGGTACGCTATCGGACATAAGCCATCCATGATTGATATCGACGTGCTACAGCAGGTAGAGCTCCTTCCATTGCCTGAATGAAGCCATCACTAACTAACTTCGCAAAAAAGGCACAGACCTAAAACGGTATTCATCTTTTAACCTATGAGTCTACCAATTATAGCTCATGGTCTACAATGAAAGTCCTCTCTTCCTGCAGATGGACCCGAATGAGATCCCGACACCAGCGCGCTCTCTTCCCATCACCGTATATGAATCTATTGTTGATATTGTTGACAATCAGCCCCAGCCAATGTTCATTAAGGCTGTCTACAAAGTCGAAACGGGCGAAGCAGAGAGAATCGCTGTCGATCATGTTGCGCACGCTGCTACTCATCAGGATGGCGAAAGCTCTCTTGTCGCACATCTCTCTGGACAACAGAATGCGATAAAAATGCTCGACACCCGTATCAAACTTCTTCATGAATATCTGCAGGACTCCGTCCAAGGTATTGTGGCATTGTGTTCAGGGGCGACGCGACATTCTGCCCGCATTGAAGTCTTTTGACGAAAGAACAATATTAAAGCATGCTCATCATATATCATTTCATCCATAGGCCATGTTCCCAGAGATCACGACCTGGAGCGACAAATATCAAGTTTATGCAACCGTTTGCCCACTATTTCCGGGCAGGCATTCGAAGAGGAATTCATGACGGTATGTGCGCACACGATCATTTGGAGCGACGGATACCGGAATTGGACTACAACTCCCATCATTCTAACGATTCTTCTTCCTTTTTAATAAATGCTATGGATTGTGTCATAGGAGTACAACGATGTCCTTTTGACCTCTTACTTGGCTACCATCACCAAAGGCACGCATGCTATGAGTGAGGTAATTAAGTAGCGGCACTAGCCTATTTGAACTCTTTTCTTTATGGTTCTGAATATAAACGTAGTTTTTAACCGCGACCCTCACTGTCTCTTTACATTTGCATAGATGGTGGACAAATTCAATGTTGTTGCGAACAATTCATCGCATCAAAGTCATGGACGTCCTCGACGCGGGATGCTAGCCTAAACACGTCGTCCCTCTGCTATCCAGTCAGGATAATCCCTCACAATTGAGCATGGCGGTGAAACTAGGGCATAGCATACTCGTTCCAGTCACTTCACCGAGGCCCATCAAACCTTTACGCAAAATGCAGACAATAAAGCGAAGCCGGATCAGTTTTTTTCGTTCGATTTGGCAAATGGATAGTATTTTATTAAATATTACAGTGAGTTCAATTGTATAGACAGAGGTAGACGATTTCAGTTGGTCCATCAAAAGAAAGAACCAACCTTTCAGAAAATGAACAAGTGAAATCCATTTAAAGAAAGCAGGAACATAACGAAAAAATAAAAATATAAAATATAAAAAGAGTCCATGGAGGGAATTTTACGCCTTCAGTGCCTCGAGAACCTTCAGCTTGAGGCCGATCTGGCGAACCTGGTCAACGGAGAACCAGACGCGGTGCTGCTGGGTTGCACGAACCTTGCGAGCGGCAAGCTTCTCCTTGCGGGCCTTGGTGGGCCAGGCCTGGGTGGTGAGCTCAAAGTTCCATCGCTTAAAGATAAAGACCTTGACAAAGTCAAGAAAGATAAAGTAGACTAGGGAGATGCCGATGACAGCTACACCCCAGACCCAGCCGATCGCCTCGCCGACGATCACACCATAGATGCAGATCAACATCGCAAAGACCTGGGTACCCATGACGGCGATAAAGAAGATAGGCGAGGGCATGTTTTCCCAAAAGTAACCGGACAGACGCGTCGAGAAAATCACAAAGTGAGGTGCGGACGAAATGTGCAGATACATGATGGCCTCGAGCTGTTCAGGCGAGACATGGAAGACACCCTTGGCAATGAAAAAGTGCGCGAACGAAAGAGCTGTCAACAATGCACCGAGAACAACGGACAGGAATATCAACTGGCCGATTCTCCACTTGTCAGGATGGGCCGAGATTTTGGCGTTATCGACGGAGATGACCAGAGTGGCAGCGTCATTAAGGATACAGATCAAAATGAGCAGAATTGGCTTCATCTTCCATTGCAGGGCCATGGTGATACAGAAGAAAAACATCAAGAAGTGGACAGTCGAGGTAATACGGTACAGGGCATAGGATCGCATGCGCTGAAAAATGGCGCGAGAGGTCATCAGGCCATCGACAATGGTCGACAATCCGGGGGCGAGCAAGACAATATCAGCAGCAGAGCGGGCGGCATCAGTGCATCCGTGAACAGCAATGCCGACGTTGGCCTTTTTGAGAGCGGGAGCATCGTTGACACCATCGCCAGTCATTCCGACAAGGATGCCGCGATTTTGAAGTAGCTCGACAACGCGGTATTTGTGCTCGGGAATGACCTGGGCGAACCCATCGGCGCGGATGCAGTGCTCAGTGATCTCATCCTCGGATTTATCAGGATCGACCAAGTGGCCTGCATCCAAAATGACACGACCCATACCAAGACGATGTGCAACCTCCTTGGCAATGATTTGCTGGTCGCCTGTGATCATCTTGACGTCGACTCCCATGTCGTTGCAGCGGCGTATGGTCTCTCCAGAGTCGGGTCGTGGGGGATCAATCAAGGAAATCATCCCGACTAGCTCATACTCTTCCAGGCTGCCGTGCTTGGTGCGGGCGACACCAAGGGCGCGAAGGCCACGTTTGGCAAGCACATTAACAGCACGAGCCGCTTCGTCATCACCACCGACGAGGCGGACAATGACTTGGGGGGCGCCCTTGGCGACCTTGAAGGACTGCTGGGTTTCCAAGTCCATAACGGTAGCCTGGGTCAGCTTGGTTGAGGGGTTGAAGGGTAAGAAAGAAGTAACCTTAAAGCCGGGGACCTCGTGTTTGTGGGTGCGGTTCTTGAGGATCTCGAGCTGCTCCTCCGCAGCAGTGCGCACAGCAAACTCAATGGGATCGTTGGCACCGGGCTCAGCAGCAAGGTAAGAGTACAGGAGAATATCACCCGAGGTGTAGTTGTTGGTCAAATAGGGCTCATCAAATGTCAACTCGTTCAGGGTCAATGTTCCGGTCTTGTCGGAGCAGAGAACAGAGACAGAAGCCATCTCCTCGACGGCAGTGAGGCGCTTGACAATAACCTTGCGAAGTGCGAGCTCCTTGGCACCCATGGCCATGGTGACAGACATAACAGTGGGGAGACCGACAGGGATAGCAGCGATAGTGAGGACAAGGACCTGCTCCAGAACGTGTTTGAACGAACCCTCGGGCGTGCCACGGTTGTCTACCAGTAAATAAATCAGGATGATAACGACCAGGACCACTGTGATTAAGATCAAAAAGTTGCCGATGCGGTTGATGATCTTTTGGAAGTGGCCTTCTTCAGTGGCGACGGCCATAAGTCCAGCGGCGCGGCCGATGAATGTATTACCGCCAGTCTTGGTAACAACAGCCATCTGCTGGCCCTGCTTAACGATCGAGGATGAGTAAACGGTGGCACCCTTGTTCTTGGACAAAGGTAGAGATTCACCAGTAAGGGCAGATTGATCGACCTGGAGATCACCCTCGATGGCCTCACCAGTGGCGCCGAACCCGAGAAGACGACCATCAGCTGGGATGATATCGCCAAGTCGAAGGACAATCACATCGCCAGGGACGAGATCAGAGGTATCGAGCTCGACCAGATGACCGTTACGCCAGCAGCGGGTCTTCAGGGCTAGGGTCTGCTTGAGGGCATCCAAGGCAGACTCGGCCTTGGACTCCTCCACGAACCCGATGGTAGCATTGATGAACAAGAGGGCCAGAATAATACCGAAGTCTGGCCAGTCCTAGTAGGGGTGGAATGAATTATAGAAAAGAGGGTTTAGTGACGGGCGCGTAGAGCAGCTGTGCACAGACGTACTAAAGGGACGTGCGCCCACAACTCTAAATTAAGCTTTGCGGGGAAAATAAATTCGTATGAACATTCAGAAGCATGCTAACAGAGAGAGGAGCACTGGGCAGTCTGAAGGTTCACAAAGCATTGAGACACAGGACTATTAAATAAACCCGGTATATATGAGGGCCGTAAATTACTATCCAAGGGCGAGCTGCCTTGAACCTGGGATACGTGGACATTTGAACCACTGGAAGCAAATAGCAAGGTTCAAATAGTGAAGAGCCTCAAGGCAAAAGTAGAAGCACAGAGAAATCGAACAGGCGTAAAAAAGGCGCACTCAATACTCTTGAGAGCCCTTGAATGTATAAGTGTGCTTTACAAATCAACATAATAGGCCATTAGCGATATGGGAACCACTTACACCGACGACAGCCGCACAAATGACAGCAATTTCAATTAAATAGGCAATGGCGCCTGTAAAGTAACTTAGGAACTTAAGCAGTGGGTGCCGTTTCTTTTCAATCAACTCGTTGCGTCCAAAGGTTTCGCGACGGTTAGCAATCTCATCATCAGACAAGCCTTTGAGGGGATCCGTGTGGAGTAGTGCTTCGAGTTCAGCCGAAATCTCTTCGACGTGCTCGTGGTGGACCTGCTCTTCGATTTCGATCTGATCGGCCTTTTCCTGTCTACCGTCGTGAAGTGTTATTGGAGGTAAAGAGCGCGCCTGGGCCTCTGGCTTTTCACTCATGGCTGCATGATGAGTCAGAAGGCGTTGCGGCTCATTAGTACGTTACTATGGACTTGTTTACTGTTCCTCCTCATGTTGTAATCGAATGTAGCTAAGATGAGAAGGTGAAGTTGTCTGATGTCGGACCATGTTTGATGATAATGAAGAGGTCGGTATGGACCTTCATACCTTTGCTGTGTCAAGAGGACAACGAATGTGGTATGGTGTGATAAGGATGCGGAGGTGAGGGAGTTGGCTGCTGCAATGTAGTCGACCTGTGAAGGAATGAGAAAGATGGAAGGGAGGTAGGGCGTAGAGGATGATCGTGACAGAGGCGTTAGGAGCGGGGGGTCGATGGACGGGAACGAAGAAAGCGAAGATGAGCGGGAGAAAGGAAACACGAAGCAGCTATAAATGTTTTTGTGAGAGGGAAAGAGAAAATGAAGTATAAGGATGAAGGGATCAGTAAGAACGGATGGGACAGGAATGAAGGGGATATGGAAAAGAGAGAGAGAGATGGAGAAATAGAGAGTAAAGTGAGTCGAAGAGTGGCCTCTTTTATATCTTTTCTTTTCACTGACCAGCGGTGAGATACCGCCAGCAACGCGTATTAAAAGGAGAGGATGGAGCGAATGGAAGGAGGAGCTGGGTGTAGGAGCCAGGGTAGGGAGTGGAGGATTGTTGGCTCTCCGATAAGTTGGGTATAGACGATCAGCGTGATTGAATGACGATGAGGAATAGTCGTTCTTGTTTCTGAATATGTCGTTTGTACGCTTTACTTCTAGGCCGAGCTGCGGAGATACACTGCAATTTGGACTGACTAGCACGCGGGCGGTTTGGAAACGATGGTATCGCATAGTCTAGAATGCATTCAATAATTCACTGTAGCATTAAACAAGGGGAAAACACGTAGAGGAGCAAAGAAATAAAAAATAAAAGGAACCAGAGAACAGAACAGAATCCTTCGAGCACACTTACACTTACAACGGCAGCCTGTTTGCTTCCGTGCTTCCTGCTGTTTCCCTTCGCTCTTGTTGCAAAGACAACTTCATCTCCTTGTTGCCCTTGCTCTTACTGCAACGATTGGTAATGGGCTATTGTTGCTTGGTGCTTGTAATGTCTGCCAACGTTAGTGAGAAATAGCTCACAAACTTCATGATAACGCAGTAAGAATGCAGTTACTGAGAAAGAGAATGGTGCACTGAGCCATGCAGTGCCCCAAGGCAGATTAAGAAAACGAGGAACGGAATAATGGCATTTTTACGACAGAAAATGCCCGCCCCGCTCTTTGGAAAAACGAAAAGGAATGAAGGAAGAAAGGGGAAAAAAGGGTATGGCCATCCTTGATACCGACTCCAAGTCAAGCAATGTACAGGGCGGAAATAAAGAGCAGAATATCCTTAGTACCTCGGAGCTGGTTCACACACTTTCATTATTGCCCAGTTCAATGCAGACAGGATGAAAGTGTACTCTTCTTTGCCCCTCCTGGGTACCAAGGAAATCATCTTCCTTTGTCCTTGTAACCCTTCCCCCCGTCGTCTCCGTCCCTGTCGCCGCGGAAAGTACGCTAATATATAGTGAACAATTGCACAACCTTACAACCTGCCTCAATGATCTACGCTACGATATTGCCCGGACCGAGCCAAGGGTCGAAACCATTAGCTGGAATGCTGCTTTTTTATCCATCCGTTCCGCTGAGAATGCATTCAATGCAGAAGAGCAGTAAACCGAATGCCCTCAGTGACCTCGTTGAGAGAGCCAGGAAAGTGCATTCTATTTTGCATTGTGCAAATGTGCAAACGGGATGAAACACCCAAAGATCCACATTACTGCACTTGCTTTATTCTCATTCCTATGGTTAACTAAACCGAGTATGCCGGATGGCCTGTTGATAAAGATTCATATTTTTTGCTTCGCGACACCACGATCTCATTTTTAGTCAAGATTTTCGAGATTCCAAGGGCTGTAGGGAGAGACTTGCCAAAGGATCGTCTTCAGTATCCATGTCAGGTTCAGGTCCATGTCCAATTCCAGATCCAGTTCCAGATCCAGTTCCAGATCCGGTTCCAGATCCGGTTCCAGATCCAGATCCAACATGAGCTTCCCAACCACCGTCATCTATCCTGGCTGTCCACATCGTTTCATCGTACAGCGGCGCATTCGGTCTTTGTAGAACCTCATCAGACGAACTCGCTAGAGGTGTCGATAGCGAAGGCAATGGCGAAGCACAAAGTCCTTGCTGAACCAAAGTCGATGACCCTTCGCCACCCAGGCAGTGTCCAGCATGCGTTCCTACAGCCATCGATGTCGTGGTTTTGCAAGGCCTGTCGATAGCCTCCTCGTACGTGGGCGGAAAATCCGTCATTGCAGGACGAGTCTCTGACGAGGACACTGGTGTCTGCTTCTCAAAGTGCAATGGTCGGCTATTAGTGTACGATGGATGAAGAAGCATGTGCTGAGGTACTGATTGATGAAGCATGTACAAGCTTGGCTGTGCTTTGATCGACTTGGACGATGAGGAACCTTGCTCGTCCTGCTGGGAAAGAGGTAATGATGACATTGACGCGTTTGGCAATGATGGTAACGAAACTGGAGATAGAGCTGCAGGACCGTTTGTTATCTGGTGCGAGACGGGGGTTGATGCAGAGGACGACGAAGAGGACGAAGGGGAGGATGAGGCTAGATCTGTGGTGTGCATATTGGGGACCTGTGTTTGGTCCTGAAGTGAGATGGGTATGGACGACTCGGAGTTGGTGGGCGAGGTCAATGTGATCACCGGGAAGCCGTCATGGGTGCGCTCCTTTCGAGAGTCGGACCGATCCCAGAAGTAGCCGTGCGCAGACGATCGCGTAGATGGGGTATCCGAGAGTGTCTTCTCTAGGGAAAGATCCCAGTCCTGGTGAACCCGTTGTCCCTTGCGGGTGGCATCTGGGCTGGATTGCTTGCCAAAGAATCGCGCTAGACTGAAGCCCGACGACGAGCTGGCTTGGGTACTGGGCAATCGTCTCATGGCGAGAATGGCGCTCATCTCGGGCGTTGCGGACGATATGCGGGTGAAGGAGGAGAGTGTGGACGGGATCTCTGGAGACTGATGCAACGGGACTCCAACAAGCTGGTGCTGCTGCTGTAGGTGCGAAGATTGAGCGTAGACTTGAAGCTGAGGCTGAGACATGGTGCTCTGAAAGGAATCAGCGCCTGAGCCGGAGACAGGGCGGGGCCTCTCCTTTTGTCTCTGTCTCTGCTTCCTTCTCCTTCTCCGGAGACAAAGTACGGCGAAGCCTACAAGGATTAGAAGTACGACTAAGCCCAAGAGGATATACAGGGCCTTGGCAGTTGGCGACATATTTGAAAGATGCGAGGACGAGGATAGGCGGGCAAGCGAGTCAGAGGATTCTGGGCTGAAGACCAGGCCGTTGGGCTCGCTTTCAGTGTGGGTGAGAAGGGTGTAAGAACGACGTTGGTTGTGGATGAAGTGCTCACTCTGATGCAATATCGAATCCTTGGTGGAGGCCAGCGCAACGTCGAGGCCATGTGGAGCGAGTGTGTCGCGCTTCTGGTGTCGCCTTCTCAGAGTAAGGCATGAGGACGGAGGGGACGAGACTGATACTGGCAGAGATGGCCTGTAATGGCGCTGAAATGGCGGTTGTGACGAAGAGGAAGCGACGGGAGGAAGTGCAGCGGGCGGCAGGGAGTGTGTGAGGAAGAGGTGAGGAAGGCGGGACGGGCCCCGTGGAGGCAGGGCAGACGCGCGACGCTGAGGACGGGGACGAGGGTGTCTGTGTGAAGAAGGAGTTGCAGCAGCAGCAGCAGCAGCAGGACGACTGCTGGCAAGGAGGGCAGCCAATGCGGCAACAACGAAGGAGGGAGTGGAAGGATAGGTGTGTGCAGAGGCAGCAGTGGAGTGCGAGGAAGTGGAGGAGGGGGGAGGAGATGGACAGGCAGACATGGCATGGATGTAGGCTGTCATGGACACATGCACACGATTGTATGACAGAGCGAAGACGAGAGTCAAGCAGGCAGGAGAGGATTGGATGTGATGGAGTGATGGAGGGATGGGGCGATGGTGCGATGGGGCGATGGGTGTGTGCGATGGAGGAGAAGAAAGTGTGGCGACTTGTTGTCGTGTGGGAGTGAGTCTGAGCGGAGAAGAATGACGAAGGGGATTCATTCAATCCCCTACAAGCTATAGTTCTATAGTCTGCAGCAAATAAGCAAATCCAAGCGTGCGGCATATGACTATGGCTATGGCTATGGCTATGGCTTGGATGACTTGGATGACTTGGATGTGACTCTGCTCTGCAGACTGCTGCTGTGGGAGGAGGCCGAGAAGGAGCTGCTCGAGTGCCTGGAAACAAGGGCCGTGCTCCCATGAACCCATGAACCTTTGAACCCATGAAAAATATAAAAATAACACCGAAGGAAGGGCAGCAATGGCCTGGAAATAAAGAGGAGGGAATGCCCTGAAAGGAACAACCTCCCTGGTGTGGAGAACAAGGGAACATTCCTCTTTCTATCTTTCTCTCTCTTTCTCTCTCTTTCTCTCTCTCTTTCTCTCTCTCTTTCTCTCTTTCTCTCTCTCTTTCTCTCTTTCTCTCTCTCTTTCTCTCTTTCTCTCTCTCTTTCTCTCCTCTCTCTCTTCTCTCTCTCCTCTCTCTCCTCTCCTCTCCCATCCCATCCCATCCCATCCCATCCCATCCCATCCCATCCCATCCTTCTTCATCCCCATCTCCAGCCTCTTTTCCATCCCCCATGGCTCTGCAGCAGCACCAGGACCAACCGGCCCACCTCCCTACCCACTCCACCTCCACCCCCAGCAGCAAGTACGCCCTACACCTGTCCTCCCCAATCAACCCCTCTTGCTGAATGACAATAATCCTGAATCCAACTTGCTCTCTCTCTCTCTCTCTCTCTCTCTCTCTCTCTCTCTCTCTCTCTCTCTCTCTCTCTCCCTATCTCTGCACTGCTCAGGTTCATCTCCAAGCTCGGCGCTGGGGCTGTTGCGGGTATCACCGGTGTACTGATCGTCTATCCCCTGGACATGGTCAAGACAAGGTGCGTATTTTTTTTTCTTGTTTTTTGTTTACTGTTGCTGTTGTTGTTGTTGTTGTTGTCTTTAATGCTCATCTATGACTACACACGATCAATTTGCTCATCTCTTAATTCAAAACAGATTACAGAATCAGAAACGAGACGCTGCGGGCAAGCTACAGTACCGAGGCGGGTAAGTCTTCCTCACCAGGGACAGCACAAAGAACAATGTTCAGTTGCGCTAGCACTAAGCACAACCGCCGGATCGTGATAACAAAGAGGCGCTCTAGTCCCACGCTAGACAGAAGGCGCTGTTGTGACCTGAGTCATTCACAAGGCGGAGGATCGGATTTTGCGCTCGGCTTTTTTTTCTTTTTTTCTTTTTTTATTTTTGGTCAGGGCAGTAGCGGGCATCCAACAGACGGTAGACGATTGAGAACCAGATCCGGGCACAGCCACAGGATCTGGGTCTGGATGAGGATCAAAATCAGTACTAGGATGAATACGACTTAAAATATCCAATCTCAACATTGTGCAAAGACATTCACCAACCACCAATGAACAGTAGGACCCCTTGTGGAATACACAGTAGCTCACCCGCCCCAGGCAGCAACTCATCTTTTACTTGTTGTGCGGGCTGCCGTCATTGGGAATCCAACCCACAAAAAAATATCCACCTTCATGACAGCGACCACAACGACGACTATGGCAAGATGCGTCGTGCCAGAGTGCTTTTTTTTTTTTTGTTCGTTTGTTTATCTGACTTTCGATCTCCATTCATCTGTGGGGCCCCTACAAGGAGGGAGAACCGTGGGAATAAAAGGCCGACAAGACGGCAAAGAAAATCATGGGGCACAACAGTCTCTTCAATCTCACCAACCTCTGCAAAAAAAAAAAAAAAAAAAAAAAAGGGTGCTGGACCAAGCCTAACGGGCTGGTCTAAACACCTTTGTTGCGACCACATCACTTCGCCAGTGGATACACGCTACGGCTAGCGGACATACAACAGGGCTGGTGGAATGAATAATCGGCCTTCGATGCAGAAAGCCAAAGACAACGGACAGAAAGTGGCCGTTTTGGTGGCGTTGTGCGTGCGCGCCATATTCAAATGTTTATGCAGCACCGTGGGAAAGAATCTGATGGAATTGTCATTTCTGACTAGGCTGGATTGCTTTCGCCAGGTCGTCGCTAAGGAAGGTGTCCGTGGACTGTACCGGGGCATTGTCCCCAATCTTGTTGGAATCACCCCCGAAAAGGCCATCAAGTTGGCCGTCAATGACTTTTCCCGCGAGTACTGGGCAGCGCAGACCAATGTCTCCGAGGACCAGCTGGCGATCAAGTATGGCATGTTGGCGGGAGCCACCGCAGGTTTCTGTCAAGTCATCGCTACCAACCCCATGGAGATTGTCAAGATTCAGATGCAGGTTGCTGGCTCGCAGAAACTAGCGCCTGGCGAACAACGTCCCACTGCCATGGGCATCGTCCGTTCGCTGGGGCTGCGTGGTCTGTACAGAGGCACACCTGCCACGCTGCTGAGGTATACTGAAACTCCAATAAGTGGCCCTGAATTTTATCCAGTGCTCATATCCTTATCCAGTTGCTGACACTGTGGTTTTGCATAGGGATGTGCCATTCTCGATCATGTTCTTCCCTCTCAATTCATTCCTCAAGCTGCAGGGCGCAGACAAGGATGGCAAGGCATCATTCTCCGTCGTATTGGGTGCCGGTCTCGCTTCAGGTGTCGTTGCAGCCTCCGCCGTCACCCCAGCAGATGGTACAGCGCAATCAACACTGCAAGGACAGCAAATGGGAACAAACCAGGAACAGAACGAGTTACTCACTCTTTGCCTCCTTGACTTTAAACAGTGATCAAAACCAGACTCCAGGTCGCACGTAAACCTGGTGAGCCTGTCTTCAAGGGCATCGCCGACTGCTTCCAGCACATTGTCAGGAATGAGGGTGTCGTAGCATTGTTCAAGGGTGTCGTTCCTCGATCTCTGATCGTTGCCGTAAGTGCAAATGCCAGCATGAAGATCTCGACAGAAACACATTGCTTTATAGATAATCATCTAATGCTATTGCTGACTGCACCACTCCCTCTCATTGTTTGTTATCCAGCCCATGTTTGCCATCGCCCTCGTTGTTTACGACCTGCAACAGCGCTTATTGGGACCATCCAGCATTGAGCTTGGCTCCACTCACGCGGCGATAAACACACCTATCCTAATGCTGGACGGCAAAAAGTAGACCAAAGAAGCCGATCATACCGCCCATGCACTCTCCTGAATTCTCCACTATTTCTTCATGCTCACTCCGTCATCATACTCCAAGCATCTAGTTCTCCCCTCTTTGTTCTGTACTATTTGTTTAGCCCACATAGACCCGTTGTGAACATGCGTCTAAAGCATAGACGCGACTCACTTCTTTGTAGAATAATAAAAAAAAAAATTAGAAACGCGCGCATTGAACAAAGCTACTGGAAGATGCTTGCTCTTTTTTTTTTTTTTTTTTTTTTTTGGCTCAATAATAGTTGCAACAGCCGCAGCTATGTTTTCTACTCGCTGCCGTTTATTTCAGAGAAGAAAAGTCCATAGGCAACAAGATGTTGGCCTCCATGCTGTCGATCAAACGAACTATAGGGATAGAAAGAAATACATCGCGAGCGCATTGTCAACACAGGAACCGAAAAGAAAAAAAGAAAAGCAAACATTGCTTTCGTGTCGTCTTGCTCTGACTTACCAGTGTTATACACAGTCTCGGCCCAGCCATCGACCTTCCAGGCCTGCTCTCGCGTCTTCTTGCGTGTCTCGAGATCACTACAGTTGCATTTAAATAAGGACAAAAGAGCGAAGGTTAGAGTGATTATCAGATGCGAACATGACTTACTAGCTCTGGGTGACTTACGGATAGTTCCACATGTGGTGGACATAGTTCAGCTTTCCGAGCTGGGAGAACCAAGCACCGACAGGTTCGCAAAACTGGCGTCGACACTCGAGTCCTCGGCGCCAGTTTGTCTCCCATTCAAGCAAATTGCCAGGCTATATCATTCCGGTACGAGGGTGGAGCTAATGTGTTAAAGTTCATCTTTTCGAATAGCATGATATATTCCTCTTGATCACGTTCTTTCATATACCTTCAGGAGATACGTTCTCATCTCATAGATTCCTCCGAGATCGACTGGTGGCCTGGATTTCCAGAACGCAAACTCGAGACAAATCTGGTTGTCGCGACTGAGCAACATGGGTCGCAAATCTTTCAAGAACTTTTGATAGCCCTATTACGCGCAATTGAAGCAGTTGAGGAATTAGCTATGTACATTTATATGACAATTATGGACAAGGAAGGTGTCCCTGATACAAAAAAGGACTTCAAGGAAGAAGGCGATAGCGAGGCGTCTTACCGGGTCCTTTCGCAATCGGTTCATTTCTTGAGTGTGGCCCAGATAGCCGCCATCGAACTCCCAGATATGGACTATGTAAATAATAGGTACACATAATGCATGAAAAAAAAAGTGAGCAAGTGTTAACGACAGCGAACAGTTGAGCAGCAGATATGGTAGGAAATAAATACGGGGGGCCCTGCTTTTATGCATATTTGAGTTCAGTGCTCTCAAAACCCTGTTGGATGAGCGCGTCTGATCCGTCTGTCCCGCAACATCGCCCCACTTCGTCTCCACTTCCGCACGACCATTTTTGTCCACAACGTGACCACATGACGACAGGCTCGCCCCAATGCTCTTATCTCCCTTCCGCTTCTCTCCTCCCCTCGGTCCTGCAGAAGCACATCGACGATAGTAGCATCAGAGCCTTCAAACCACTATTCCGCCATGGCATCGTCCGTACGAAATGAATAAATACGGAAGCTCGCCCATAGGCATCGGACATAAAACATCAATGGGAGCTGAAACAGCCACATTTTGGTCATGAAGATAAAAGCACTTGCCCGCAGTGTCTAGCTCGCCGATTTCCGTTAACCAGCTTCCAGTCAAACGCAACTTGTTGTTGGATTCTTTGACCAGTCTAGGGAAGACCTCGGATCTATGGCAGCAGAATATGTGACCCGTTGTTACTCGCCCGCATTGCGTCGACATAAAAAGAATCTAAAGTATACCATGGCCTCGCATCGGAAGGAGTTTCGCATTGCGTAGTAAAACGGCCTGGGAGGTCACTTACACCAATTGAACATAGTCATCGAAGCGCTCAGGTCGAATGCGATGCTCTGGTGGCAGCAGATAGTGGTAATAATAACCTCCATGTCAGTACTATTCACAATCATTCTCAGTAGGAACGTCGACCTCAAAGAGTTATCGTTAGGCAGTTGTTTAAACACTTACTCTGCAGCTCATGGACGTATTTACCACGAGACAAGGAAGCCCCCCAAGACTCCTGGCTCTGGACTTTCGGGAGCGACCCTGACCCATGAAGAATACTGTTGACGATGCCGCTGACCTTCCCCAGCGGTTTGCCGGAAGATGAGGAGTCCCTGTCCGAATCGGTGCTGGTTTGGACAGATTGGGCAGATGCTTGTGTCTGACTGGGGTCAGACGAGGAAGAGTGGCTCTTGTTGGACGAGAAAACTCTCAGTTGCGCCGGCGACGCGGGTTGCTGAGCATGGAAGCGGTAGGCGTTCCTGAGGGGGGCGGCACCAAACAGGCGAGCAGGACTTCTAGCAAGGACCGACATGGCTTTCGTATAATTGTGGAAAAGAGTATATAAATCACAGAAAGAGTGGGGAGGTGAGTGAGGAGAAAGATAAAGAAGAGAAGGAAAGAAGCAAAGGGCGTGGGTAATGGTAATGCGCGTGCTGGTTGGTGATACAGGCGCATACGTACACAAGCTTACAATCATCATGTACGTATCCCGCTCGTGATAAAAGCAGTCCTCCCTTTCCCCTCCACAAAAAGGGTTCTCCCCATCAGCTCCACCTTCCTTCGATCACCACCTAAAAAAATACAACGCCAAGAACAGGACCACCAACCACGACTCATGCAGCGTACTCGCCAGGCATGCTCGCAGGCCATGCGTCCTATCCAACAACAGCCATCCTGGATGGAAACCATCATCCACCGCCCCATCCGTGTTGAATGCTGGACCTGTCTCCGTCCTGCCTGGCTCCATCGCAACCAACACGACGCTTCGCCCTTGGACTGGACTTGTCCGAACTGCCTGACCCATCAGAAACGGGACAAGGTATGTCCTGGTCTTCCTATGAGCTGTAGCTGAGACTTTTTCTTGGGAGAAGACGAGGATGCACGGCCATCGACCACGACACTCACCACTATTCACCCGCTTTGGAATCTTCCTGTAGGATGGGACCATTGTGCCGGTGCCAGAGATGTTCGACAGCACTTTGAACGAGGATGTGTCGGCCCGTATTTGTAAGACAATCTCTTTTGCACTACAATACCGAACATCTAGACATGGCAAAGGACTTCACAGACGGACAGCGTGATAGACGGCGTGATAAACGGTCATTGCGTGTTCAAAAACGATTGGCACCCAAACAAGTAGATCTCTCAACTATCAGGAAACTTCAGGCATTTATCTTTCAGCTTGGGAGAAAGAGTAGAATATCAGGCGAGGACAGGCGGATAGCAGGCATCCTTCGTTCTATATAGGATAGGACCAGATCGTTGCTGTCAGAGAAATATGGGAATGGAAGCAGCATCTGTAACTCGCCGATCAGCTTACAAGGCGATATATCACTGACATTGGGGACGATTTGTATAATTTTTTTTGCAGCTCGTAGCCTGAAAAGTCGGAGACGTCCGAGCGCTGGTAACCCACACAGCTCGTCCCAGGGAAACTTTTTCTGTGAAATGTGCAACGGTCATCAGCGCATCGTCTATCAACTGCTTAGCAACTACATTCCAGACGAGGAGGTAAGTTCTTTACTGCTCCATGCTTCGTTTTAAGTAACACCATGCGCGCTCTGAATACCAGCCTGTCCTCGCTAACTAGGAACATGCCATGCAATTCATACTGACAAATTCAACAACTTCTCAACGCACTCTTCCAAGGACGAAAACTATGAGACGTACTACGGAAACGCAGACACATACAGGCGACAACTGGAGGAACGATACCCATTAGCCTGCGCAAACTGCTTGGATAAAGTTCATAAAGAACTGGCGCAGCAAAACTACCGGATTAAATCAAGCTTACTGAATTCAACACTGAGTAAAAGTCGAGGAGATCACATCAGACCCACTCGAAAATACCCGAGTCTACCATGGCTCTTGACAGGATTCAGTTGGACATTTGCACATGCAGAGTTGATGGCCGTCGAGGCAGTTGGTATGTGCTTTTATCTTCTACTCTGATACCAGTCAGCGACCGTTATGTCTCGATCACCATTTTTACTATGAGGTGTCTCACATTTGTTGCCACATCCTATGCAACTTCGATGCTGCTATAGGTGCATTAGGCTCAGATATACTTCCAAGTCTATGGGTTTTCGACCTTTCAAGGCGCCTGGTACGCGCGGCAGGAACATTCACTATTCATAATACAGCAAGAGGAATATCAGGATTCAATCTGTCGGCCATGTTGCCTTGGTCATCATCCTTTGGACAACTGTTTCTAAGGCTGTCTAAAGACGAGCAATCCGCGATCATTGTGGCGACCCTGGCGATCTTCTCGATCGTAGGATTCTTTTGGGATCCCCTGGCATTCACAGTTCAAAAATCGCCATGGATACGAATCCGGACTCGCTGGTACTACCACTGGATGCGGATGTGTGCTCTCCTCCTCTCGGCGCTACAGTACTACTGCCTCTTCTCATGGAAACCGCAACAGGATCCGTTTTGGGCGTACGGCATTCTCCTAGTTACGCATCTCCTGTATGTTGTAGCATTCATTAATAGTCGGTACTTGCAGGAACCCTTGACGTTCAAACAGGGCAATTCGGTCACACACACACTCGCCGCAAAAGCTTTGGACAGTGACAGTCCCAAGGTACCGTTGATTATTATTCTGCATCTATTTGAATCACCTTCCAGCCTTTTGTTAACATACAACACTCATATCCTCAACTTTTTCTTTTGACTTTATGTGTGTGTCTGTTTCTTACTGGGAAACCATAGATATCAGCAAGGACGACAAATGCCTTGCCTACATCATCCCGCGCTAGGACATATCAATCTACAAATACCGCCATATCGAGTAGTATGTCGCTTCACGGCGTCGCAGGATCTCGCTCGGTCTCGCCGGACGTTAACGACATCAATTGGTCACCCAAGAAGCCGTCTTCCACAGCGACTGCACGTCTGCCAGCTCAGTTCGGTATGTATCGGGACCCGAGTCTTACGGCAAGGCAGGACGAAACTTCTATGCTCTCAGGTACGACTTGGGCAGGACACGCTGGATCACTTCAAGCACAGCAGTCCATCGTACTCGGTGGCGCCTCTATGGCCATGGACAACAAGTTTCGCTCGCGTGCGTATGAGCCTTCTCCCCTAGCCGACCCGTCTCTCATCACCAACATGAGTCTGAACAACATCTCATTGGGGAAGATGTTTGGTTTCCCATCTGCAACGTTCCAACCACCAGAAAATCATTTTGCCCATCGCTCTGGAGGTCAACATCGAGTGAAGGAATCGGATACTTGGTCCTATCGCAGGTCGACAAAGCCAGGGTCGTCCGGACTAGACCGTTCTTCTCCTCTGCGCTCACGCCCATCGCTTCATTCAGGATTTTCTGACAACGCCGAAGTTGATATGGACGACGACGAGGGCGAAGTGCGGAACTCGAGGATACCCTCTGGCCTGTCAGGCACGAACTTTGGCTTTGAGACCGATAATGACCATCTTTCGTCATTTGGCAGCAGCTCTATGAATGACTCATCAAAGAATGGCTGGGCTGTCGATGGTCGAGAGGCATTTGCAGCACAACGGTACTTCCCACCCGAGCCGGAGACAGGACTAGAGGACAACTTTTTTGGTGTTGTCAAAATTGTAGACGACTACTTGCCGCCATCACCAGAGCCTCGAAGTATTGTGGGCAGGAATCTCATGCTCAAAAAACGGATGGCTCGGCTATGGCTCGCACTTATGTTGCTTTGTCGAAGCGAAGTGCTCTGGAAGGTAATGTATCTGCTTCATCGCGCAAATCAACTTGATTCTCTTGGTGTTCTGTTATGTTTTTGACTGAAATTTGCGCCCTTCTAATCTCGTCTTTGACTGTCATGCTAATTGGACTAGGCTATGGGGATATGGTCATGGCAGCAGGATTGGGCACGTCAAGCCCTCTTTATTGCAGTGATGCTGCACGCGACAGCGTTCTGGATACTAGATGAATATCGCACCGTGGGTCGCTATTTAGACAAGAAGCCTGCATCTGCAGGCAAAAACAACGCGCCAGGGAGTGCCGACCCCTTTGAGCCAAGGATCATTGACAAAGTGTGCTCAGTAAGAGATATTCTGTTGTTGTTATTGCTGCTGTTGTTACAGTAGTGATATGAATCACGTCTTTTCCACCAGTCCACGGCCCGCATCATGACACCCCGTGCTTCAATTCCATTCCGCTGTTTCTTAGAACACCCTGTTGTTGCTGCTGTTGATACGGATAGTGAACGTCTTCTGGATGCTAGGCGATACTTTCTGGTCGCATAATACTTCCTCTGGAGATCCTTGGTCCCAACTGGATAATCATGTTGATACGACACGAGATGCTGCAGCAAAACTGGACGTGATGGACTGGTCACCAAGGATTGTGCATTGGATAGCCCCATGGATCAGGAGTCAGGACGCAGTTCGAATGCTCGCATTGCAAGCAGGATGGGTGCAGGATGGTCTGACAATAGTATTACTGGTCGTCTTAATGGCCTTTGGGGCCGGCCTGCACACAGCAAAGTCCCACGCTCGTTAAAGATAATAAAGCTCTATATAATATTTCAATTGATATACGTGGCATGCAGGCCAAGTCAACCCCTTTTGTTCCAACACAACATTTTTCTCATCCATCATCCTCATCAGCAGCGACCAATAATCAATAAACATCAAAAGACGAGCAGAACATTGGCAACCCAGAAACAAGCGATTGGCAGCGCTGTGAATACAGCATTCCTCTGATAAAAATAAAAGATCATGGACTTCTTCGCGAGTGGTCTTAATGCTCTGCGGGGCCAAAAGGGCCAGCACCAAACAGGATCCGAGACAGTGGACAGACTATGCGAAAGAATCGAACATGGAACTCTTCTCGAGGATCGACGCGCGTCCGTCCTTGCCCTCAAAGCTTGCGCCAGAGAGCACAAAAGAGTATGCATGACCTCAGGCCTCAATGATTGAGACTCGATGAGAATGAATGAATGAATGAATGAGAGTGTCAGGAATGACTGGATGACCCTCAGCAGTTGGGAATGAATGCACCGGCGCTGACTCTGCGGGGATATCTTCATATGCACATAACTTAGGATATTGCAACGCGCGGTGTCCTTGTACTGTGCAAGGTCCTCCGACAGGACTCCATGGATATCGACATTAGCAAGGCAGTTCTGGAAACCCTAACAGTGCTTTGCCAGCCTGACTCGGTAAGCCTTTGGGTTTTCTATAGCGATATATTGGGCTGTCGAAAAACGCAGCATTTCAATGCAAAAAGATCTTCATGCTTAGCAGCCGTATGCTCTCTATCTTGCTTTTAGGATCATGAAGAATCTCGGGAGTTTGCGCTGGAAATGTCAAATGCGTTTCTTCAGGTAAGCATCTTGAACTGCTGTCGAACATCATCTGTATAGGGCTAACCAAAATTATTTATCTGAATTTTGGACATGGTATCGGCACCACAGGATGCAGGCAACGTTGCTATTCTTCTGGATATGCTCGAGGAAAGCGATTTCTACGTGCGGTTCCATGTGGTATCGTTGATGTCGGTACTCGTACTGAACAACACGCCGCGCCTGCAGGAGTGCGTTCTCACCTCACCCATGGGCATGTCGAGGCTGATGGCTCTTCTAGACGACCGGCGTGAGATTATTCGCAACGGTAGGACGACATGCTGCATGTTTCATCTGCTATATCAGACGGTCTGGAATACATTTCTAACGAGCCTCGCATTTTGTCTGCATGAATAGAGGGGCTTTTACTGTTGATCTCGCTTACAGAGTCGAATGCAGATTTGCAAAAAATCGTTGCCTTTGAAAACGCGTTCGAACGCTTACTGGCCATCATTGACGACGAAGGAGCCATTTCGGGCGGCATCATTGTCCAAGACTGTCTGCAACTAGTGCAGAATCTTCTGAGATACAATGTCTCAAATCAGGTACAGTGCTGTGGGCTTACGAAGAGTTGGGGAAAGAAGCACATTACAGATATGCATTGTTTTGCTTATAGCATCCTTCCAACTTGTCCACCCTTATTTACCCGCCTAAAGAACTACTTCCGTGAGACGAGCTGCATTCAGCGGATTCCTGCCTTGTTCGAGGAGGAGACGATAGATGACAGTGGAAGGCACAACTACGCTGGGAAAGATGTATGGTCGGATCAAAAAGGCAACAACATGATCATGGTCCTGGAGCTGATCCGTGTCCTCGTTGTTCCAGACCACTCAAATACCATTCCCAACCAGGTAAACCGATTATGCTGGTATCTCATTTGAAGTCTGTCCTAGATGTTCTGAAACGGAACAGAGCTGACTATCTACCGCTGTCTATTGACTGCTGTGTTCAGAAATCGATGTATCAATGCGGGATCCTTCAACTCCTAATCGACCTCTCATTGGCATCCAGTGCTCCGCAAAGGGTGAAAGCCAGTGCGTTCTATGCCTTGGCAGAGCTAATCCGGCTGAACAAGGTCAACCAGGATGCGCTGTCCAAAGCCGTCATTACACCTGCGCATCCGCCACTTGCGCCCTCTGAAAACCTCTCGTCATCACTAACACCTCCTGGTCGATCATCAGCTCAACTATCCCGCTCTTCTTTTCAATCCGGACGCGGCTCTGCGCAGGGCGACCGGTTTCCTCACGGCTATCGCCACCTAGAACCTCGTGAACGCTGCCCGGCAATAGTGGAGGTGGTCGCCATAGCAGTGGGACAATACCCAGGATGCACGTACTCTGTGAGGGCCGCAGCAACTTGTCTTTTCCAGGTACGCATGTCTATCGGGTGCTGCCAAGCTTTCAATAAGCAAACGAGCATGAAAGAGCGTGCTTGACCTATTGATGATTTTGACTGTTATCTTAGACCTTCGTTTTGGAGAATCCCGATACACAAATGGTGCTCGCTACAACTTTGAACCCTCCGCCTGAAGACAACCCAAATACTGCTTCTAATGGTAAGCCGTGAATTCATTTCTGCGCATATTCGCTGCATGTAGCACCCCATGTAAATAAACATTGACGGATGTCTTTTTTTGTATGACGATTTCATATAGAAAAACCACGGTCTCCAGGGACGCTGCTGTTGGGCGCACTGCAGGGCTGGCAGGACGATGCGGAAACGGCATCTACGGACCCGTACAACAGTTGGTTTGCAACCGTGTTGTTTTCTCATATTCTACAAAACAATGCTCGCGCAAAGGCCATCGCACTCGCCATTACCTTTGGCGACGAAGAACATGGTGCGTTCGACTGAAAGATCTACGTGACACTTTCTTCATTATTATTATTATTATTTTTTGGTGATTGTGCGCATGGGTAATTTGATCTCATCTAATCACGGTGTATTGTTGCTGTTATTCTTGAAGGTGAAGACCCAGTGTCGTTGATCCACGCCATAGCAGCAGCTTTGATGGTAGCTGTCAAAGGACGGGCAGACGTTCGGGTGGCACTAGGATATCTCGCTCTGCTCTGCGTATGGTGCTACGACAGCCCCAAAAGCATCAAAGACTTTTTGTCCGAAGGCGCCCATCTCCAATTTGTAAGTCTGGTTATCTTTTGGCACTCTAAGATGGGTGGATTGAATATCCTGTTGTCTCTGCTTCGTGTCGTGCGAGTTGTGCTGACTCGGTACTACTTAATTGGTTTTGCTGTTGTTCTTACAGTTGATCGAGCTAATTAGTCCATCGTCCAAGGAAGACTTGATGGTTCAGGGTTTGGCGGCGTTCTTGTTGGGGATCTGCTATGAATTCAATTGGGAACAGGATGCTCTTATCAGCCGGGCGACTATTCAGCCGATTATCCTGAGCCGTATTGGGCTGGATCACTTTGCGGCCTGCATCACTCGTGTCCGTGAGTCGAAGCCATTCAACGCTGCGGTGCCGTTTATGGTAGTTCTTCCGTCGGAGGAGAGCGAGGGAAGATTGCCGGGACTCTATTTCGACTATTCGTTTGTTGAGTTCATGAAGAGGACATTTGGTACGTTTCGCGGCTGCTCGTGTATTCTTCAAAGCAGGCATGGAAAACAACGATACTGATATATAGAGACACTGTTCTCTTTTACTTGAGTATAGAGCGGACACAGAAATCGATAACACTATCGCCAGACAACAGGCAGTCGCAGCAGACATCATCGCAAACTACCAATGCCGAGATTGAGATCCAGCTGGCGTCAATGCAGTCCAAGGTGACGACACAGAACGCAGAGATGGAAGAGCTACGGGCGGCACTGGATGAGTCTCAGCGCATGCTAGCTCAGCAGGTATGTGTATGCGATGAAGGCGGTGGCATCCGTATATTTTTATCTGGGGTGTTTTCTCATTCACATGCTATGCTTCCTTTTGTCGAATTCAAAACTAATGCTTGTGTTCAGGCCCATGAACGTCAGGAATACGAACGTGAACTAGCAGAAATGCGGGAGAAGCTGCGCGAGAGCGAAGCGCGGCACACGGCCCTTGAGAGGGAGCATGAGGACTTGTTGATCTGCCTTGCAGAACAAGACGAGGAGCTGACGGTAGTGAAGGAAAGGCTGTTGTCGCTGGGGGTGGGCGGAGGGCATGCACCGTAGGAAGGGAGATTAGGAGGGCATAGGTAGATGATGAAGGTGGAGTGCAGAGGATGAAGGGATGCGGTGTAATAAAGAAAGAAAGAAAGAAAGAAAGAAAGAAAGAAAGAAAGAAAGGAAGGAAGGAAGAAAGGAACGCCTTTGTCCACTCTTGGAGCTGAGGAGGATGGAGAAGTGGGTGCCGCCTGCAGCCAATCAGAAGAGAGCGCCATTTTTCTTCTCACGCTCTTTCCCCCCCTCGGTTCCTTTCCTCTTTGTTTCCTGACTCTCTTACTCTCTGACTCTCTTACTCCCTTACTCTCTTACTCTCTTTCTTACTCTCTCGTCCGAGCAAGAACTCCTTCATCCCTTTTCTTTTTCTTTCTTTCTTTCTTTTCTTTTTCTTTTTCTTTTTCTTTTTCTTTTTCTTTTTTCTCCCTTCTTTCTTCTTCTTTTCCTTTCTTCCGCGCTTCCCTCCCCACTCACCCTTCCCCCCCGCGTTCTCTATCGGCCCGTGCCTGTCCTGGTCGCCCTCCTCTCTTTCGCTCACTCCTGAGGCTCCTCTGTAACTGTACAGCTCCACTTTGCTACTCTTCTTACCCGCAGAGGAACACCAACACCGCCTATTTTCTTCTCCAATGCTGTCCCTCAGAAACATCCACAGACCTGTCTCCCGCTGGGCGCGGCCTGGTCTGCCCCTGAACAAGGTACAGTCCCCAAAGGAATCTCGTCTTCTTCGCCTCCTCCCCATGGACCCAATCAATCAGATCGAATCTCCTCCACCAATCAAAAACACTCTAATCACATCTCTCTGATCGCTTTTTTCCCTCTCCTTAACCCGATCTGTCAAAGACCGACTTGCCTGCTCTTGTTTGAGTGCCTGAATCCTTTTGGCTTGTCCATTAATTCTTCTTATTATTATTTTTTTATTTATCTTTTGTTATGCATTCTGTGGTGATACAGGCCTATACAACCGAGCGAACGCGCCAGCCGCTGCACGAGCAATGGGCCAAGCTGGCTACAAAGGAACTCAAGGGTAAGAGCCCTGAAGAGGTCCTTACCTGGCGAACCGCAGAGGGATTGAATGTCAAGCCTGTCTACACCCAGGCCGATACCAAGAGCATTCCTGACGAGATCCCCGGCGCATTTCCCTTCACCCGTGGTCCATACGCTTCCATGTACACTGCCAGACCGTGGACTGTCCGCCAGGTACGTGGACTCGCGCGGTTGCTGCGTGTGCTTGGCTGGGTCCCGATTTACCGGAAGACTTTGTTCTACTTTATGAGAAAAAACAAAAACACAAAAACTTATTTTGATCTAACAAATGTTACCATCGTTCACCCGTGGCTCCATCTAGTATGCCGGATTCAGTACCGTCGAGGAATCCAACAAGTTTTACCGCAAGAACTTGGCTGCGGGTCAGCAGGGTCTCAGTGTTGCCTTTGATCTCGCCACCCATCGAGGGTAATAAGTTGGCAGGAATATGCCTGCTTTGAAAGCATAGGTTCAAGCTGAAAGAACACAACATTGACTTCCGACACTATTTGTATCCGGATTACATAGATATGACTCTGACCATCCAAGAGCTGTTGGAGATGTCGGTATGGCTGGAGTCGCTATCGACTCGGTCGAGGATACGAAGGTATGTAAGCAATTGACCTCATAAAGTCCTTTTTCTTCGAATTGCTTGCTTTGAATGTTGCAATCTCTTGGACGAGAACGACTAATCTGATCTGTTGCCTTCGTCTTTCTTTCGCTTTTCGGCACACTAGATTCTTTTTGATGGGATCCCGCTTAACAAAATGTCCGTCTCAATGACAATGAACGGTGCGGTGCTGCCAATTCTCGCCATGTTCATCGTTGCGGGACTGGAACAGGCAAGTTTGTCTTTGTCTTTTATGTACCCTACATGCTTTCTTATAGCTTCATTATCTTTTAAAACACGCCTCTCATTCCTGTCCTTTCTATTACAAACAACATTACTGGTGTAAATAGGGCGCCAAATTGGCAGAATTGTCAGGAACGATCCAGAACGATATTTTGAAAGAGTTTATGGTGCGCAACACATTCATCTATCCCCCAGAGCCATCCATGAAAATCATTGGCGATATCTTTTCCTACACCTCTGAAAACATGCCCAAGTACAACTCGATCTCGATTTCTGGATACCACATGCAGGAAGCAGGAGCCGACAATGTTCTCGAGATGGCTTTTACAATTGCGGATGGATTAGAGTACATTCGCACGGGACTCAAGGCGGGCATGACCGTCGACCAATTCGCCCCCCGTCTCTCCTTCTTCTGGGCCATTGGCATGAACTTTTACATGGAGATCGCAAAGATGAGGGCCGCCCGTCGTCTCTGGGCTGTCCTCGTCAAGGAGAAGTTCCAGCCCAAGAGTGAAAAGAGTTTGCTGCTGCGAACACATTGCCAGACCTCTGGATGGTCCCTGACGGAGCAGGTACGTTGTGTAGGCAAAGCTGCTTGATATTAGTATCCCACTTTTCTCCTGCTTTCCCACTCATCAGTCGCTACTACAATAGGATCCCTACAATAATGTCATCCGCACCACTGTCGAGGCCATGGCTGCCACTCTTGGAGGCACTCAATCCCTTCATACAAACGCATTCGATGAGGCCATTGGATTGCCTACCGAATTCAGTGCACGCATTGCCCGTAATACCCAGCTAATTCTGCAGGAAGAGGCCTTCATTCCAAAGGTCGCCGATCCTTGGGGTGGGTCGTACATGATGGAGTCCATGACTAATGACATGTACGACGCTGCGAAGCAGATTGTTGAGGAGGTCGAGGCCATGGGAGGCATGGCCAAGGCCGTGGCCAGTGGCATGCCCAAGCTGCGAATCGAAGAATCAGCAGCCAAAAAGCAAGCTCGCATTGATTCTGGTCAAGGTGAGCTATCGACTCGTGTTTTCAGTCGTACATTGATATGCGATGCGCGAAAACGAGCGTTGACCTTGGACGTTCATCTCATGATCTTGTACTCTTATTTTTGTTCGCGATAATAGACACGATTGTTGGTGTCAACAAGTATAGATTGGCCAAGGAGGATCCGATCGATGTTCTGGCTATCGATAACACTGCTGTCAGACTGGGTCAGACCAGGCGCTTGGAGAACATGAGAAAGACCAGAAACGCAGAAAAGGCTGCTGCATGTCTAGAGGCGCTGACAGAGTGTGCCAAGACAGGAAAGGGTAACTTGCTCGGCCTTGCAGTCGAGGCAGCGAAAGAGAGGTGCTCTGTGGGCGAGATTTCGGATGCGCTGGAAAAGATTTGGGGCCGTCACTCACCCACAATCCGTGTGGTCTCTGGTGCATACAAGTCCGAGTACGGTGACAGCAGCGATGTGAGCGACACCATTTCATTGGTTGAGAAGTTTTTGAAGGCTCAGGGAAGACGGCCACGTCTGCTGGTAGCCAAGATGGGTCAGGATGGACACGACCGTGGTGCGAAGGTCATTGCGTCTGGCTTTGCGGATCTCGGCTTTGACGTGGATGTCGGACCTCTCTTCCAGACACCAGCGGAGGTTGCTCGCCAGGCCATCGATGCTGATGTGCACGTTGTTGGTGTTTCGTCCCAGGCTGCGGGCCACAAGACACTGGTCCCACAGCTGATTGCGGAACTCAAGAAGCAGGGTGCTGGCGACAAGCTGGTCATCTGCGGCGGAGTGATCCCTCAGCAGGACTACCAGTTTTTGTTTGATGCTGGTGTGACCTCTGTGTTCGGTCCTGGAACACGCATCCCCGTTGCAGCACAGGAGGTTGTGAACAAGATTGAGGAGAAGCTGAAGGTGTAGAATGTTATACGGAGCGTTGCGGACAAGGTGTAGGAGAATAAAATTAGATTCATGAGCACACTCAGCATTGGAGTCCTTGCAGCAGAAACAGAGGAAGCAATAGCACTGCTTTTATTTGTCCATAGAATATGGTTATTCGTAAACACTACACGAGAATTGAAGATGAAAACGACTGCTCTGCGCCTCAGGCTTTCTAGTCAAAGACTGATGATTAAAGAATAAAGATGGAGAATAAGAAAAAAAAAAAAAATGGCGCTATTCTCAGATACAAGGCGCCCTACAAGGATTAAAGAGTTATGCACAGAAAAAGAAGTGCGAAAGTGCACTTTTGCGATACGATGAATGGGTGCGTGTCGGTGCTTCGACTTAGGCGCGCGAGGGGGTGTCGTAGTGAGCAGCGTTATTGGGGTCGGGGCTCTGATAGGTCTGGGTCATGCTAGGCTGTTCACCAGAGGGATTGGTGTAGCTCTGGGAACTGTTGTAGTTGGGGTTAAGGTTCGTGGACGAAGTGTTGGGCACGGCCGACATGGAGGGCGAAGGCGTGGCGCCGACAAAGTGCATGGCGATGTAAAAGAGCCCGACGGCCATAATGATGCATCCGACCAGGATGTTGAACCACCTCCATGACAGCGTCAACAGGCCCATGCTATATCGGAAGGAAGCAAAGCTCAAGGTTAGAGCATTCTTTCTCTTTTCTTTTTCTCTCCGTCTTCTTTCACATCCATGAAGACTCTTCGTTCTTTTGGCACGAAAATGTAGACTTGCCTGACATAGACTGCATCGGGCGAAAAAAAAAAAAAAAAAAAAAAAAAACACAATGATTCATATGAAGAAAAATGATTAGCTCTCATCCAAAGATATGAGACAAAGTCAAGTAAAAAAAAAAAAAAAAAATACCACCGCCACGACACAACTTACAAATGCCTCGTCCGAGGAGCGAGAACATGAAGCCCAAGTTATAGACCATCGACTCGGGGATGGTGAACTCCAATGCGAATGTCAACAATCCAAAGATGCTGGAACGTGTGTGTATCACCAACGAAGAATGCGTTAGTCTAACGATTAGGTGTAACCATCACAAATCCATGTGGGCATGCGCAAGGGGGGAGAGGGGGGGGTGCACAGACCAAGCAGATGTTGATGCTTACCAAAGGAACACACCAAGGATGCCCGAGTTCCATGATCCGATATGGACAAAGAGCAGGATACCGCCGAGGATGATAAGGACCGCTTCGAACAGGGGTTATTTTGTAGTCGCAATGCGACAGAATGGGATGGAATGAGATAAGACGGTAGGATTGATAGATTCATATCCATCGTCAGTATGCAGGTCAAATGTCGATGGCTATCACTGGTTATATTAGACTGTGGAGATGCATGATAGCAGCTATTTCAGCCGCTCGTCGCCCCTTACCGACGATGAGGTTCAGCAATCGGAAAAGCGAAGCGCCTTGAGCCATGTTGGAGAGTGATGAAGATGATTGATTGACGAGGTGAGATTGTTAGTAAGAAGAGCAGAGAACAGAGGAATGTGCTGGTACGAAGTGTTTTGGTTGAAGAGAAAGAGAAAAAGAAAACAGCAAAGAAGGTCTTTTTGGTTGTGAAATTGGTAGCTACTGCCACTGCTGCTGCTTCTTTCTTCTCTTTCTTCGTCTCAGTTTACCACTGACTCGCACACCCATACATCCACGCTCGATGAGTGACGGAAAAAAAAAATGTGTCTCGCGTTCATTTCATTGAACCCCCAATGGGACCCTCCTCCACGATGTCAAACTATGTAACGCGTGAAACAGCACAGCTTGCCCATTGGTCTTTATCTCTCGTTACCACCTCAGTACGTCATCAATGGATCCACGTCCATGTCAATTCGTGTATCGGCGGCAAAGTTTATGAACAAGAAAAGAGCAAAGAGAAAATGGGAGAAAGCAAGAGCGTATATGTATGCAACATATTTTAGACTAGACATAGACAACTATAGAAAGAGAGAAACGTTTACTTGGTGACCTCGTGGATGGCCTTGGCGAGGTAGCCAACGTTCTTGCTCGAGATACCGGCAACGGAGATACGGCCATCCTTGGTCAGGTAGACATGGTGCTCCGTCTTCAGTTTCTCGACCTGCTCGGGCGTCAAGCCTGTGTAGCAGAACATACCGATCTGGTTTGTGATGTGATCCCAGTTCAGCTTGGACTTGTACTCGTTCACGAGGTGGTCCTTGAGCTGAGTGCGCATGGTGATGATGCGATCAGCCATCAGCTTAACCTCCTTCAACCACTCGGCGTTCAACTCGGGCGTGTCCAAGACCGCGGAGACGATGCGAGCTCCGTTCACAGGGGGGTTCGAGTACATGGGGCGAACAACAATCTTGATCTGAGAGTCGACACGGGCCTTCTCCTCGGGCGAGGATGTCACCAAACTGAACGAACCAGTGCGCTCTCCATAGAGACCCATATTCTTGGCAAACGACTGAGAGAGGGCAACAAGGTGGCCATCCTTGACAAACTTGCGGAGAGCATAGGCATCCTTATCAGTGCTTCCAGAGGCAAAGCCCTGATAAGCCATATCAAAGAAGGGGAAGTGGCCAGCCTCCTTGACCACCTTTGAAAGTTCGTCCCACTGAGCCTGGGTTGGGTCAACACCAGTGGGATTGTGGGCGCAGGCGTGAAGCAAAATGACGGAGCCCTTAGGAGCGTTCTATAAAGTGCAAAGCGAAGAACCAACTTGTCAGCACACTCTTGGACAGAACCACTGAACAGATCGCCCCCATTTGGCCATGTCGACGCGTTGTATTTACCTTGATGTCGTTGACCATGCCTTCGAAGTCCAATCCGTTTGTCTTCTTGTCAAAGTACTTGTAGTGGTTAACCTCCAGGCCAGAGTCCTTGAAGATTGGGATGTGGTTGCCCCAGGTGGGGGTGGGAACGAAGATCTTCTTGGTAGTAGGAAGCCATCTGGCAAGGAATTCACCTCCAATACGGAGAGCACCAGTGCCGGAGATGGTCTGGGTGATAGCGATCTACAAGAGGGTTATGTATCAGGTATCAGAAAGAAGAAGGTATAAAAAAAAAAAAAAAAAAAAAAAAAAAGCCGCGGTAAACATTAGTCATTCAATGCGCACTTTCTTAAAAGGCACAAAATCTTGAAATAGATCACGAACTTACGCGACCCTCCTTCAAAGGAGCACTGTCGGCACCATAGGCAAGAAGAGCAGCGCCTTTGTTGAACTCTGGGACACCGGTGATGCCGGCATACTCCTTGTCGAGCAGATCCTTCATGATCTTGTTCTCGGCCTATGGATCGAACGAAACCCAAAATGCATGCCAGAATAAGCGTCAGTCTTTTCAGAACAAACAAACAAACAACGGCCTTGTCACATGAAGAGGGGTAGGACGTATGTATCATTGGACACTGTACCTTGCGGACACAGTTCAGGACAAAGGGCTTTCCTGCATCATCACGGTAGGCACCAACACCGAGGTTCATCTTGCGCGGGTCGGTATCCTTCTTGAATGCCTCGGTGACACCGAGAATGGCGTCGGGAGGGCCTAAGAGATGGAATAGGTGGGGGGGGGGGGGGGGGGATTCGTCAGTATCGAGAGTCATTTCTTTTGTTTTCTTTGATAACATGGGTCAAAAATCTCATCCGATCGATCCTCGTAAATCTTTCTCGTCCTGGATCCAGGTCCTTTTATTTTTGTCGGACACATTCGCAGAGCAATCGAGCAATTGCAATATTGCTAGTCCCAAGATCCAGTTTAAGTCGTGTCTTTACTCTGGAGAAGGATATTGATGCTGATCAATGTCGTTTCCTGCGCAGAACAGGGTCCTGCTTCAGTGGTTTGGGGGCTCTTGCGCGCTCCTGTTGCTGATATGTCTTCCCTTTGGTTCTTGTTCACGTTCATGTCCACGTTCATGTTTTTTGTTCGTGCTTTGGAGTTGCGTGTCCCTTGAGGCTTTGTCGGTTTTGGCACTAACATGACCATCTGAAGTATGGGAGATAGGCAAGTGGACAAACATACCCATGGGAACATTGGCCCAGACGGATGAGAAACGGATGCCGATGGCAGCGGTGGGGCGAATGGTGGCGCGAGTCAGGGCGACGCGAGCGAGGGATCTGGAGTGGGCAGCCAACATGGTGGTGTGTGGTGTAGGTATGGAATGTGCAAGGGGAGGAGTGAGGGAAGAGGAAGAGGAAGAGGAAGAGGAAGAGGGAGAGGGAGAGAAAAGGAGAGAAGGCACTATACGCTTGTCGCTTTTGTGTATGTTGTGTGTGGTGTGCTGAGAATAATGCGGGGCAGGCAGGGACGGGGGGGACCGCAGAAGACAATATTGCTTCACCGGCTTGCGGGGTTTTGCGGGGGGATACCTCTTTAAAGAAACAACAAGGCACACATCCTCAACTCGCGCTCACACTCACACTCACACTCGCGCACTTCTACCCATGGCTCAGCAAACACTCCATCGGCTGTGCAAGTGCACAGTACACGTCTGTACGACAGCAAGCACTGTAACTAGTCCTGAAGACTGACACCAAGTCCGTATCTGCATCTTCATCGTCTATACGCCTGTGGGTCGCAAAGGGACATCGCTCTCTGGGGACACTTGCAGCAACGGAAGACCGGCAAGAATACTCCATTTTCTTTTTTTTTTGTTCCCCGGCTGGCTTTTTGAATTCTGTGCCGTAGTCCATGTGCAAATGAGAAAATAGCGACTAGAACCCTGTTTTTATTTTAGGGTTACTTCCCAGAACGACCCGCTTCCTGCTGTCTCTTTCAACCTGTCGGATCAAATTACAACGCGAAGAAATAGACATCTAAAAGCTGCTATCTTGACAGGCGACTGCAGTAGGGCGTATCATGCTCCTGTGTCGCCATTCGAGCACACTGCTCCTGCTATTAATGCAAGTGCATCAGGAATGCCACCCTTTCTTCTTCCTGTCGCTGCTTCCTTCCCACGGTCCACATGCACCCCTCCTCCCGGTTCTTCACGTGTTATCCAGATGGACAAGTAAGCCCGACGACGAGGGTTACTTCTCGCTCTTTTTTTTTTTCTTTTTCGGGTTTGATGCGATAAAGATACCGTGTTGTAGATGACATGGTCCCTTCAGATCAGTCAACTACATATCGATGTATAAATCCACCGATCCAACGACTTCAATCTGTAATGCCTTTATAGAAAATTACACTTCCCATTTTCACAGTAGAGATAGTCTTGCAAACGCAATTGTAATTTATTGAATTAGGAAGCTTTTGAGAAAAAAGAAATTGTCAATAAACAAAGTACGTCCTGTACAGCTGCTTGAATCAGATTCTCAACCCTGGGACCTGGTCCTCGTTCGACGTGGTTGAGGCAGTAATCGCAGTGCAGGAGTCTCCACATGCGCAACCAAGAGCCATTTTACATATTATAACTACAACAACTACATAGCATACATTTTTATCCTCGCAGATGGAGTGGTATTGGCGGCCTCGCTGACTCCTTTATGTAGCTGCTATGTGATGAAATACCTCTTGCAGGCTGATGTACCAGGTTCACGGTCGAGTTGACAAGAGCCGTATCACCCAACGGCCACGCCTTGTGCTCGCCTCAGTGTGTGTACACTCATTAAAAAACGACAGCAAAAGAAACAAGAGCGGTCAACTGGCTGATCGGTCTCTACCCCCCCCCCCCCTTTCCGTGTGAGGAAAATGAATGTGCTGCAGAGTACCTGGTATATTGGAAGGATGCGCCATAGCATGGGTGTTTTTGCAGCCAGAGTGGTAATGGGATACACCGAGAGGGTTGAGGCTCGATGGGGCGAAGCACGAAGGGACGACTTTCTCTTTTTTGGAGCTGTTGTTTGTGGCTGCGCTGTTTACCAGTCCACTTTCTTTTTTCCTCAGTTTAATACAGTTACAGTGGCAGGCAGGCCCCTATCCTTCTTCATCGACCCACCTCAGTCATCACATCCACCACCCCCGCCGCCTCCTCCCCCCTACGATGCCAAAGTCAAGCAGCAAGCGGAAAAAGGAAAAGAATGCCGACTTCAAGGTATAGCAGTAAACATAGACCAGACAGGACTGGACTGGACTGGACGGGTCTCTTCTCCTCGACACACGTCTCAGTGGCATTACTGTGAGTCCACGATCTGTACGCTGACACGGCTGCATTTTGCGCTCCTTATGCAACCATAGAAAACCAAACTGAAGGTCGGGAAGAAAAAGGCCATTGCCGACAGCTTTACGGACACGTCCTTCAAATCAAGGGGTACGAGACAAAGGCTAGACCTCGCAGCTTCATCCTTAACAAACCTCGATCCGTCTTGTTGAAACTGTTTGAAAACAACTTACACTCCCCTATTTCACTCTGCAGCCATCTCGCTTCCTAGCCAATCCATCAGCCATGACAAGACCGCTCTCCTGACGAATTCCCGCAATACCACCTTCGCAGAACTCATAACCCAATTGAAGCACTATAGTCCTAGCACTCGCAAGGACGCGCTCTTGGGTATGCGAGATCTTTTTCATCGCCATCCGCATCTGTTACCCCTTCACCTCGGTGTCCTTGTCAACACCGTGGTCCGGCTTTTGATTGACGATGTATGTTTCATGTCCCGGACTTGCCATAGAAGAAAGGGTTCGGTCTAGTCGATATGCTCGTCTGTCTAACCGCTGTCATTCACCATTTTTTTCTCCCTTCTAGTCGAGCATTGTGCGCAAGGCTTTACAATCATTCCTTGGGGAATTTATCCCAATGCTCCACCCTCGAGACGTTCACCCGTTTTTGCCGCTCCTAATCGTATACACTTGCTCCGCCATGACCCATATTTTGGAAGATATCCGCGATGACGCCCTTAAGTTCATGGATCTCTGGGTTGCAGTTGGAGGTCAGATCGCTGTCAATGGCTTTTGGGATAAGGTATGCCATTGTTTGGTAATGACTATACGTCCATTGCGCCCCCTGTAGTTTTGTACAGCAAATTCACGAGACGATCATCATTTTCTCTCATAGATCATTCCCAACTATGTCTCGCTCTTAACATCGGACTCAAATGCCACGAACGCTTCAAAGCTATCAAGTGCAATGTCTTTTTCAGCCTCAGCAGCATCGGGGATGGTTGGTGGAGTAGGATCGACGCTTTCTACCTCAAAGACAGTAGCTGGAGCCATCACAGGCAAGAACGCACCGGGCTCACTGAAAGCCAAGAGCGATGTCCTGCAAAGCTTGGCTGGATTTTTACAAGAAGGTCTGGGAGGAAAAGAAAGCGAGAAGGACCCGTACTGGTTTTTGAGGAACTTTTTGGCAACCGCTCACGCCCGCAAGTCGTTCAACACAGCCAGGACACATTTTGGAAGTCATGATGGGCAGTCCAAAGTATCAGACGCAAAGAAGCGGAAGGCATCACAACACAGCGCAAAGGATCGCACCCTAGGACGCTCCACCCGCAAAAGAGCCCTTTCAAGTGATGAGTCAAGTGAGGACGACGAGAAGAGCAGTGAAGAGCAAAGCGATACGGATGGCGAATCGCTTCAAACTGAGGATTCTGCTGATGAGAAGGAAGCAGAACAAGCAGGATCGTTGCTGTTCGACCCTACGCCTGTCGTTTCATTCAGTCATGCTACCAGGCATTATCAAGCACCTGCCATTTTCCCGATCCACCCTTCCACTGCTCGCTCTTCAATGATCCTCGCTATTTTTGGCCAAACTCAAAACTCGGGTAGCGACTTTGCTGAGGCTACCAGCATTCCTATTAAGGTCTTCCCGCAGCAAGGAGGAGCAGCAGCGTCTGGCGTGGGAGCCAATGCCGGTGCGAGTGGTAGTGGCAAAAGCGCCGACGATAGCCTTGGTGGAGCTCAGGGTCGGCTCTCCCAGATCAAGCCTTTGATTTCAACTTTGCACCCATTGTTACTCTCAATGTGGTTGGATACTGCGCCGACAGTTTTTGCTTCAACCACGACTATCCACGCCAACCATGCTCTGACGATCGTTCACCTGGTACTAAGAATTTGGGGTATTCTTTGGAGGGCAGCCCTGGCCCGGCCAAAGAAGAATGCAGAGACTGAGGAGGAAATCGAGCTGGAGAGAGAGGAAGAGCGATGGCTGGAGGAATATCTGCAGGGTTTGCTCCGACATGTCCTGATCTACTTTCCGTTCGGCAAGGATACCGTAGCGATGATGGACTCAAAGGTAAAGACTTGAGACTGAGTGTGCCAGTGTGTTGAAACTGTTTCTAGTGGTGTCATTAACACTTACTCATATTTATTCTCTGGTACACATAGGTAGCCTCCATCCTGCAAGAGATGAATACCACATATTGCGAATTGACGTCTCTGTTCCTGCTGGGGTCCGGCATTGGAAGGGTGCGAAGCGTACACAAAGATAATTTGAAGAAATCGACTACGAGCGTCTCTCAGACCAGGGCCAAAAAAGCGTTGAAAACCTCGTACAGACCCTCCAACAAACACGCGAAGAAGCGCATGGCGGCAATGGAGGACGAGCCATTAATATCTTCTTCATCAGATTATGACAGCGAGGCGGATGAAAACGCACCACAGGGTTGGATCCATAAAAATGATGATATGGTCTCTATCCGAGTGGAGACACCAGCATGGGCAGACCAAGTTGTCGATTTTGTTCTCGATACCCTCGGATGGGTCACTCCGGAGGGTCAGAAGGACGTCGATGCAGGTCTCAGTCAAACGCCCATTATGAGCAGCCTTTCCACAGACTTTAAGTCTCAGCATCTGGTGGCCCTCCTTCCCACACTCTGGACTTTGTTGAATTGCCTGGAAATCCAACGGAGAGAGTGGGTGTTTGAGGCCCTCATAACGTACTTTGATAATGTCCATGTACAGAGCGGCGCCAAGAACATTGTGCTCCAGTTTCTAGCTTTGGTTATCAAGGTATGATATGAGGTAACTCTGCTTTAGCTGTTTATGTAATTGGATATCTTCATCGGTGTACTGACGACCGACATTGTTCCCTCTCGACCAGTTGCAATCGCACCCCCACTACACCGGATCTTTTACTGTGACCATACCGGGAGCCCGTGCCACGGTGGTCCGAAGGGCTTTGTCGGGACTGTCGAAGAAGAGTCGGAGAGAACAGCAGGGCTCGATCAGAAAGATGTCCGGTCTTCTTGCGTCTAGCTTACTGAAATTGCCGAAGTTGTTGTGGGACCTTGGTACGGAGAGAATCGAGACCAGCCAGACTGTGCTTGATCTTTTGGCGTGGGTGACCGTGATCGCAGGGGACAATCATGTAGAGGCGGAGCGCGAGAAGGAACGGGTGCAGTTCCTGAAGACGCTGCAGAGCTACATGGCCCTCTTCTTCTGTGTCACGGTCGCTAACAAGGATGGCCAAGGTGGGAAGCGGACGGTGATGGGACCCTTTGTGAAGCTGCCTGCGTCGCTGCAGAGACGAGCTATTGAGATTGTGTTTTACTCGGGCGTATTAGCTGCTGATCCTTTTTTTGGTGAGAACACCGTGTCTCAGAAGAAGAAGGATGCCCTCGCGGTCAAGAATGCACCTCTGCTAGCAGCGGTCAAGTTGTGTTGTCAAGGTAGGGAATGTGAGGTGCAGAGGTTATGATGGTTGGCAAACATACCATGCGCAAGGAATATATGGCTGATATAACCTTTCATTATTGTCCACTGTCTTTTAGTGGACGATCTTCCGGACGAGACCAGACTGTACATTCAGGAAACACTCAGGATTGCATAGAACCAATAATAAATATAGCTTTTGGACGCGACAAAGAATATGGTAGTTACGCGCATGAGTGCGGTTTAGGATAGTAGGCCGATATCTCTCTCGTGAGGACGCGACAAACAACAATAACTAGACTACAAATGTATTTCATTTTACGCGACAATATAGATATGGCATTGCGTTTTGAACACGACTTTTAGATGGTTGAATGATGCAAAGAAATAAAAAAAATAAAAAAAAAAAAAAGAAGCGGAAATTGTTTCAGCTCTTTTTTTTTTTTTTTTTTTTTTTTTTCTTTCGCAGATGTTTTTATGTTGTATGGTTACAATGGTTTAGTGTTTGGCTAATGTTGTCAAAACTGATACTGCTACAATGGTGAAAGGAAGACGGACAAAGATGTTACAGTTGTACAGCTACAGGAGGAAAAAGGAAAGCAGGAAAGGGCTATTGTACAGCAATCATATACAAAAGGACAGAGAAAGAAAATACGACAACGTGGAATGAAATGCTGGGTAGTAAAACTGAAGACAGACAGACAATGATGCTGTTGGTGACAGGAACTGTACAAAGAGACAAAGAAAGAACTGAAGAAAGAGAGAGAAAGAAAAAATGCGCCTAGGCCATGACGAGGTCAAAGGCCAGGGTGCTGAAAAGGTCAGAGGCCGAATCGACTTCCTCGGAAGAGGCGCCCTGGAAGATCTGAGCGTAGCAATTCTGGCTGCTACAGTCCTCTTCATCATCGGGGCTGACGAAGGCCTGCTCTAGCATAAGACGCTTGCGGGTATTTCTGCTAGACATCACATAAACAGGACTGCACAAAAAATCCAAGGGCTCCTCGCGCTCCTCTTCCTCCTCGTCATCAGAGCCCATGAAGGCGTAGGTAGAACAGCGCTTCTTCTTGTAGTGGGCCACGGAGTTCGAGTGGTCCTCGGGAGGGCATGGCAGCGAGGGATAAATACAGCTGTCGAGTCGGTCGAGGGCAACGACGGTAGCTGCGGCAGCGGCGCAGACAGGGCTAGGATAGACAGCCTCGGCATGAGGGCTGGAGGCGTCGGAGGAGTGGTGGTCGTCAGCGACGGGAAGACTCCTTCCAATCAGACAAGAGACGTCAGAGAGGATGGGAGTCGCTGGGGCGGAAAGATATGCAGCAAGTTCCGAGGGCTCGATATCGGGAATCAAGAAGGCCAGGAGCTGCTCCTCCGTTGGGGACAGTGGGGGTGTGAAGAGCAGGGACTCGCTGTTTGTCCTGGAGTGATAGGCACCAGTGGTGGTGGAGCTGTGATGGTGGTGATAGCGAGTCTTGGGGCAAGGGGAGGAGGACAGAGAAAGGGCGGGAGACAGGGACATGGCCATGGCTGTGCGGATGTGTACGTGGGAGCGTGTGTACGTGTGTGTGTGTGTGTATGTGTATGTATGAATTATGCTGTGCTGTGCAATGCAGCAAGAGAGTCTCTAGATGTACGGGTATGGGAGGAGAAGGAGTCTGTGTGTGTACGTGTGGAGAAGCGAGACGAGAGGGAGGGGACTGGTATCACGTGCAGTGAATGGGAGGGAGGAGGGGGCGGTGCGGTTGGGGATCTGTTTGTTTACGGCAGGTAAATCACCCGTGGAAAGGGCTGTGGGACGACGGGAGAAAAAAAGAAGAGGAATGACGGAATGAGAAAAGGGAGGGAGAAACAAAAGAGAAAGAGAGAAGAGAACAGCGACAGGAAAGAGGAAAGAAATGGGAACAAGGGAAAACATCGTCTGGTATATATACGATTTCGGAAATGGGCCTAGTGAATGAATTGAAGTGAATAGGGCGCATACTCAGTCTGATATAATTTGATTCAAGTTATCGGAGCAGAGTATTATGTCGGGACTGAATAGCCTCGACTGGACTGAATCCTGCATTGTATAATGTCATCAGACAACGGTTAGGGCGGAAAGGGCCAGAAGAACGAGGAAGGAAGAAAAGAAAGGGGAGCGTGTGTTGCGGAGATTGGACAGAGACAAACACAAGCAAAGGGCGGTGAGAGACCTTGTGCGAGGCTATCAATAAGCAATCGATTCAATGCCCACAATGACAACGATATACCTATATAGTCTACCTAATATACCTATATTCCTATATAGTCTACCTATATAGTCTACTTACATACTTAAACCTGTCTAGTCTAAGCAGCGCTGCATGCCACCCTCGTCTTCCTCTGCTCCTCTGCACACCGCACGCACGCGCACTCCAACAGGTCGGGCGCTTTTAGGTTCACGTTCGGTCTTGTTTAAAGGGGAGAGCACCACACCGCGTCGCGCCGTCAAGTGAAATACGCTGTACTCTATTATTTATATTCCCGTATATTAAGAAATGGGATGGGGATATGAAGCATCCAACGGAGCACAAGAACCTGCTCCCACTCTCGATCGTACTTGCACCCATACTGCGCGCGTCCTTGCCTGCTGCGTCTGAGCTCTGAGCTGAGCTGAGCTCGATTCTTTTTTGTTATTCGCTCTGGGCAGAGAAGGAGGACAAGCGAAAGATGAAGAGAGGAGTTTAAGATCCATGTGCTGTATGAAATAATATCCCACCAATAGAACTCGCCCGCATTACAAAAAAGACCTGTTTGTATGTGTGTATGTATGTGTGTGTGTTTGTCTGTGGGCTGGTCCAGCCAACCAAGGCTCGGATGTTTGTTTATCTCTCGTTACTCTGGGCCGATGACATCTGTATTTCACTTTTGTCCGCCCTTTGCCTGCTCGAAAAGGTTTGGCTGAAGTGCCCTGCCTGCCTGACTGGGCTGGACAGCTGGGCTGGCCTGGTTGGCTGGCTGGCTGGGTTGCTCATGCAATACAGCAGCAGCAACAAAAAAAAAAAAAAAAAAAATCAGAGCCCGCCCCTTTCATGGTGCTGCTTCTGGATGACACCCGTCCACCCTCTCCCTTTTCCCTTTTCCCTTTTTCCGAAAAGAGTCGCAGCCAATGCGGTTCGACCAACAACGACAGCAAAAAAATATTCTCGCAGTCCTCTTGTCTCATTCTGTCCGCCCTCCCATCTCTCCACGCACACACGCGCGCTCACTCACTCACTCACGCACGCACTCAATGTGTCATATTGATGCTTACAGTACTCTCGCTCAATAGTAGACTACTGCAGCCTAGTCTAGTCTACAGCTGCCTGCTGAAATAGTCCCATCCATAGTCTGCCTCGGCCGATTGACTTCGGCCATGCTATTTTAAACAGCACGCACCCAATTCTGACCGAGCGGACTAAATCCAACAACCGATCATGGCCTTCATGCATCTTGCGCTCTCTCTCTCTCTCTCTCTCCCTCTCTCTCTAGTCCGACCGCTTACACGTACACACTCGGCCCAATGCCTCTATGCCTCTATGCCTTTATTATGATATACATAGAATGGCCTCTAATTTAATTCGACATACAGTACATTTCCGACATACCTCATTCACCCCGACGTGGGTGAGCGTGTTCTGTTATTTGTGCATGCGTCGTGCCTGCCCGACCCTAACCCTGCGTCTTGTGCAATCGAACCAACACTCCAGCTCCTGCCCAGCCCCAAACATCCCAAACCAGACCCAACCCAAAACTAAACCACCCCAAACGACCCTCAGCCAGCCAGGGTACTGGACTGTAGAGGGTGGCATTCAAGCACCGCTTCTGCTGATTACGACTCCATGAGATAGACTACAATCTGTGGATGACAATCATGACAATCACTGAGACCGAGGGAATAAGGGAATAAGGGAATAAACTAAAGAGGCTGCCATGTGCCCCCTGTTATGCTGTAGTACGGTACATGACGCGGGGTATTATTTGAATGCTACATTACGTGCGCAAGAATAAAGTAAGGAGAAAGAGTCTTCAGCCAGTCCAGGGGTCATTAGTACAGGGATGTACACGCACATGCGTACAGGCCTTCCATGTACAAACTTGGACATGGGCACCCGCTTTGACGCGTCTCTCGCCTAGGGCCCTAGGGCTCCCCCTTCTTCTTCTCCTCCTTCTTCCTTGATAGCATTTATCCACCCATCCCTAGATTATATCACTGTACCCTCCCCCTGTGTCCCTCTGTCCCTACAGCATGCGCGTACATACGAGTGTGCACACCCATGCAAAACAAAGAAAACTCTCCCTTTAGCCATGCACAACCCCCTCGCCAGTCTACTAGTCTACTCTCTCCTCAAAACTTGCGGGAACAAACTCAACGACGCGTGGTTTTCTTTGTTTACCATGAAAACATACCTATGTGCTTTGCATAGAACAGCTCCCTCCCCCCAGATGCCCATGCACACTTTCTTCGGGGTCTTCGGGGTCATAGGCTCTAATTCCATCCGACTCCGTATAAGAAATACATCATTCTGTTACAGGACTCTCTCTTTACAAAACGCCTGGCCATATCGCCTATCGTCAGCCAATCATCTAGCCCCTCAATTTACACAAGAACACACCCGAAACAGACCCTTTTTTTTTTTCTGGATGCCTATTGGAATCCCAGTAAAGGACTAGAGCGCTACTTTGACTCATGCGCTCCACCCATCGGTCTTCTTTTTGTCCCCTAATTCCCCTAATTCCAACCCATTCGCACTATAGACTATCAGGGAGTCTGCTTGTGCGTGTCATTTTATTCCCGTGGATGCATGTCAGCGCACATTTACCAAACCTTCTGCAGACAGAAAGAATACTAGTCTAACCTAACTAACGACCTGAAGAAGGTCTCGCAGAAAAACGTCTTAATTGACCCTGATCGGGGCCCGGTCTGACACCGTTGACTATTTTCCTGGTCACCTTTCATCGTTACCAGATCATAGTCTGACTGTCGTCACTGTCGGCACTCCTTTGTTTTCGCAGAGTCCCACTGGACTAGAACAATTGGCCTCCATCCGATCGAAATATGTGCGAAATGCCCGTGCTGAGTATAGCCGTCCTTGCTTTTTTGTTGACAAGATCCTCCGTCGCATGCATGAACCGAACAGGGTCCACCCAATGCTGACCCATTCGGGGTATTAATGAACCATCTCCCGGGAAGCCCTCATCCGCTAATTATACTTGCGCATCTACAGTACTCAAATTCCTATTCGCTCCAATCGCTCGTTGAAAATTAAATTGGAAAAGGGCTTTTTCTAGTGGGGGGATTATTTATTTTATGCGATCTGGGCTCTCGCCGTTTTAAATCGTACAAGTAGCCTACAATAGGCTAGGGCTTGACTCGTATGGAGCATGTGGCGCGTGGAAACAAGAAATGGCCCAGACTAATCTAACGATAACTCGAAACACCTGCTCATCTGTGTGAGCTTGTAGATCATCATAAAAATATTCTGTGCGACGTCCAAGTCCTGTTTCAAGGGCCTCTTATTGGCAGGCAAACAGAAAGGGGTAAAGCGTGCTTGTCAGCATAGTTCTCAAAGGCTGGGGGCCAATGAACGCCAACACCAGATGGAGAGGAAGGCACGATTTTTTGCCACAAGCAAACAGCAAAGCTAACAAACCAAACAAACCAGCGCAGCCGCATCGCCACCGACTTCACTTGCAAGGGCTCATGAAAATAAGGGAGATCGTATGTAAGTTTTTTGTAGGTCTACATGCCTACAAAGATAACATAGATTGCAACAGTATGTCTTTCCTTGATTCAGTGCGTTTCAAAAAGAAATAATCTGTTTGACAGTCCAAACGGAAATCTATGTAGATCGTTTACCCTGAAATGCATCAAGTATTGTACATGGATTTTCTGTAGGGTGGTTATCCCGAGGAAAAGAAATGCAAAAGTGTTTGTACTCGGACTTGAACCGAGGACCGTCTGTGTGTTAGACAGACGTGATAACCAACTACACCATACAAACAGATTCATTCCCTTGAAAAAGGAAAAAGTCGAATGATTTTATATTAATTAAAATAATTTTGCATCACGTGCCACAGTGTGACTGCTTTTTGGCCGAGAATTGGTGGCATTCGCTGACCATGTAAACGGGAGCTGCCCTCACGCAGGAGTTAGGTTAGGCTAGCTATGCGACATGGGTTATGAATTTGACGCCTCAAGCCAACATAGTTGGTAGGGGATGCGGCTCTGCCGTGCATGGAAGGCATCTATGGCTTCAAGGCCTTTGCGGACCATGCGTCTTGTGCTCATGGGGATTTATGTTAATAAAAAAAAAAAAAAAAAGTAAACGGGAGCTGCCCTGGCCCCATGCTTGACCCAGACGCAGCGGATCGGACGCTGCTGGATTGCCTGCAAGGGAGGAGGCGGTTGACAACTATGGAGGGGATGGGGAAGATACCCTTCTTGTAACAAGGTGTTTTCAGCTTTTAACACACTGATGAGATGTGGCAATTGTTGCGCAGGCCCTAGGGGCAGGCCCGGGGAATGTGACCTGTCTTTTGGCGACTGTGGATTGGTTTCGCTTTGGTGGTGAGGACAACAATAGTAGATCTTTGCTAGTTAGTCTGATAGATTCGCAGAGTCAATTGACTTGAGAGACAAGTTGTTATAAAAAAAATAAAAAGAGAATTGGTGGCAAAAAAACCCCTCCCAATATCGTTAATAAAAAAAAATCGTTGAAGACCCCTGTTAATGCGACAGGTCACGTAGGGTACAGCTTAGACTTGCCATGCTATTTGTGTTGTGAAACCAAGGCACCTCAAGTCAACGAATTGGTAGGGATACAGCTCTGCTGTGTGTGGAAGGCATATGGGCTCTAAAGGGGCTTTCGCGGACCACGCGTCTAGTTGCACAGGTGGATTCTTGTGAATAAAAAAAAAAAAAAAAGGACCTTCTTTGGTGGAATTCTTCAGATCACGGTTATGTCTTTGAGGGTTCTCAAAAAAAAGGGATTACTTTGCGGAATGGCCAACTACAGTAGATCATTGTTAGTTGGGGTTTGATAGCCGTATCCTTGACGTTCATCTGTAAAATTTGTAGTTGTTATTGCGGTGCAAGAAAGTTGAAGGTGCCGTTATCACGGCTTAGCCTTCAAACCGAACGAATTAGCGCCGTCAAGTAAAAACCAGTGTAGTAAATGCTATCCGGTAATTCCAGTACAGTAAAAAAGCGTCTCCACATGAATTAAAGTCTCTTGCTTTACAAGCGATTATAGAAAATATGAGGCCTAATGTGACTGACATCCCTGGAGAACTGCAACTCCATTTTATTGACGGCGAGTAATAGCAACTACATCGCGGCCGTGGTGTATCGGCTAGTTATGGTGGTTGGATATTGTTTCCTGGTATTGAATCGATGCGTTGATATCGAGCGTGAGCGTTATTAAGCCTTTACTCCGGCGTACAGAGCGAGAATCTCAGGCATATAATTCATTATCAACGAAGAGATTGAAAACCTAATGTGCCCACATATTGATGTTAGTTGGTACTTGACAGCGTGGATGAAGACTTGGTATCGATAACCACTGTGCGAAGACAAGACGTACAAGATAGTCGCAGTTGGCGATCCCATGAGTCCACCCTCGCTTGCACGCTGGTTCAAGTATGATTCTACAGAGAAGATCATTCCAACCCATAGACAGGTCCGATTCTATAATCCGCGCGAAAGTGAGTAAGGGGGAAACCATGTTAGGCACTGCCCAATTATGTTCACGTTGCTGTCAAGGCCTCGTTCAAGTCCTTCAGTAACATTGGGAACCACAATCCAAGGTCCAGTCTCTGCTTTGATTCCATGAGCCCTGTTTTTGGGCTCCTGCAGTGTCGAATACCACCCTCTGTAGTGCAATTGCTCCTTCTGAATCCATTGTAAGAATGCTGCGTGATAATCTACTTGCCCTAATCATCAAGCCAACCACAGCTGTCGAGGCAACATGGGTGACACGGAAACAGGTCAATAACTCAGGTTAATATCGGGTCCTTGGAGAAATAACGGCGCGTCTAGGGAACATACGCATGCACAAAGTCTGTAGCACACCAACCTGCAACAAGAGCGACGAATCCATGGACGTCAGGGTCATCATCCTCGATGCGCTTGACCTCTGGTTTGTACTCGACGATGTGATCGGGCCTTCTTGGATCAGCGGATGAAATAGAGGAAGATGTTGCAGCTGCAGAGGAGGACATGAGTGCGGCAGTTGAAAGGATGAGAGAATGCGGAGGAGGTGTGAGAGAACATGGTCTCGCAGCTGATGACAGTGCTAAGTCTCTTAAATATGATATAAATATTTGGAATTCATCTTACCTTATCCTTTAATATCTATTGTGGGCTGGAAGGAAGTGCGCCCGCCTGGACCAGTTGGTTGGTGGGTCTGCTGCTGTCATCACCATAAACAAAGAAAGAGAGGAAATGGAACGCTGAGAAGGATCGTGCAAGGGAAAGAGGGTCCTGTTGGCTGCTGCAGAGGCCTGTCCTTAAAAATGAATGACAGTTGGACTCTCAAATATCATCATGACGGTATCCAGCATGTGGTATAAAAAGAGGCCCGCGACCAAAATGCATTTCTTTTCATCCATTCTTTCCCACTCACACTCAAACACACCTTCACAATCAACCAGATCGATACCATGGTAAGTGTGCCATCTCTTCTTCTTTCTTTTTCTCTTTTTTGTGTCCAGACCGTCTCAATGCGAACTGCTATCCTCTGCTATCACTTGCTAACATGAATATCATCACTGTCATTTGATGGGTATCTAGACCAACCCCAGCTTCTCAGAATCCCAGCTCGTCAACATCAAGCAGCAGTTCGTCGCCATGGACAAGGACGGCGATGGCCTCATTAGCGAGTCCGAGTTCCTTGAGACCCTCAAGAACACCAATCGTAACCCGGAGGACTACGATATCCAAAAGTTCTTTTCCGAGGCTGACAAGAACAGGGACGGCAAGATCACTTTTAACGAATTCGCAGATGCCTGCCAAAATCTTGGACTTGGCAAGGATCTCCCTGTCTCTGGCCAGCCTTCGAAGAAGAGCGCCAAGGAGGTCGATGCCATCTTCCGTAACTTTGATCGCGACGGCGATGGCTCCATCACGGCGAAAGAGTTGCGCGAGGCCTTGGCTGCTCAGGGTGACAAGCCCTCCGAGAGCGAGATTGATGATATGATCAAGGCTGCAGATAAGAACAACGACAACAAGGTCGACCGCGAGGAGTTTGCCAAAATGATTTAGTCCCCTTCTAATCCGTCTATCCGTTGGGGATGTGTACATAATAAAGTAAATTTTCAACAGTCCATGCACTTGCGCAACGACACATAACTT